TTAGTTTGAGCACAAAAAAAAAAAAAAAAAACCTGTTTGTAGCAGCACACTGCTGCTATGGAGAACATAGTGAACTTCATTAACTCTAGTTTACACTCTCAGGAGGTCTGGTAGTGTGATAATATTGTGTTATCTCCTTGTAAGACCCTGAATGAAGTAATGGCAGGTTTCTCATCTCCTTGTAAGACCCTGAATGAAGTAATGGCAGGTTTCTCCCTAAAAGGGAGGGGTTAGAATCTCTGTCACTTATCATAGTCTGAGGTAAATGAATTTTACAAGGTTGGCAGCTTTTAGGGGTCTCCTAAATTTTTTTTTTTTTTTTTTTTTTTTTTATAAACCTTTAGGATATCATTAACATCAATTGTCCCTTCTTGGGGAAACCAGGAACAGTCAGTCCTCTTAAGTGACTAAAGAATTTGTTGAGGTCTTTTTTTTTTTTACGAACCCTTATCCCTCGTGTCTTGAGGGCCTCTTTAAAGCCCTTAAGGAAAAAGGTAATGGGAAGAACTTCCCCATCCCATGGTTAAGCCTAAATTTAGACTAACCTCGTCCTTCCCGCTCTCCTCCAGATCGTCAAGAAAGGGCGTCGAGTTGGGCGGTCTCAAGGACGATCACCAAAAATCTCCACCAGATGTCTGGGCTTTCCCGGAGAAGGACGTTCAACTCCCGACAAGGCAAGGGTCGAGCCACCACGTTGGGCGCCAGTTGCCCCGACCAACGGGGTATCAACGGGGGCAACCCACCTGTGGGAGAGAATGAGAGGGATGGGGGAGACACGAGAGAAGACAGCAAGACAGTGTGTTTTGATCAAGCTGCAAATTTTATTCTCCTCAGCAGGGCTTATATAGCATGGGAGGGGGAGGGGAGGAGGGAAGGGGGGCACGACGTGCCGTCCGTGCAGGTGAAGGGGGACGTGCAGGTGAGGGGCTACATGCAAGTTGTGCAAGTCGTGAGGCTGCTAGGTGGTAAGGTCACTGGTCAGGGCCCATTGTTCTGTTGCTATGCTACCTGACCTGCCTGACCTGTTCTTTATCTTCGGGGGCATCCGGTTTAGGGTAGGGGCTTGTTCTCTGGCTTAGCTAGTACTTTTCCATGGTCCATGTTTGGTCTCTGACACAATCTCTTACTTTTCTTTTTGGAATTCCACATTGAAATTTTTCCATTTTTTTTTTTTTTTTTTTTTTTTTTTTTAAATCTTCCAGCCTTCTGTATTTGTTGGAGCCCACTAGGTTTCCTAGTGGCTTTACCTAGCAGGACTGCATAAGAGGTTGATTGGACCAGGGGCCTGAGTACCAGGTATTTGGAAGGGTCTACACAAGGCTGTATCTAGCAAGGGGGAGGTCTCCCCCCCCCCCCAGCATTGTTATAAAAAGCCCTTTGGAATAAAGTTCTGGGCCAGTGGATAAGGATCCAGGCCCACCCAAGGCTATCCTGCATTTCTATCTTTTTCTCTCCCTTCTATTTCTAAGTCTCTTATTCCTCACTTCTCAAGAGTCCTTGGGGTAAATAAATGTGGGAGCTGGTCTCCCACATATATTCTTCTATTTTTATGTCTCTTACAAAGAGCAGTTGCAAGTTTTGTTTCTTTCTTTCTTCTCCAGTATGATGATCTTTGCCTTTGATTAGTTAATTCATACCTGATTCCTACCTGTCCTGCTTTGTGTTAGTTTTTTCAATCTTTTTTCTTGCCTAATTGTTACTCCCCTGGCTCCTCCACAGGGTTTGTAGTTATACACTCATTAACGTCAATTTTGCCTTCTGTCAATCTTTGTTACTCTGCAGGTAACGCTGGAAATTGTTATTACTTGATAATTTCAACTTCTCTGGAAAACGTAAGAGGAGCTTTAAACTCTGACACCAACTTATACACTACCACTGTCATATAGTTTCAGCTAGGAACTTATGTTTATTATTATCACTTCTTTTATCTGAGATTGGGTGGAGAGTCTTTCCCTCTGAAGAATTTCCTTTACTATTTTCTTTAGTAAAAACCTATTGAACTCACTGTGTTGGGAAGTGACTTTATCTTAATTTTTGAATTGTTCGGAGGACTAGGCATAAAATCCCATGTTTGCGGTGGTTTTTAGGACTGCAAACAGCCTCCTGGTGTTATTCCGTTGCCCCCTTTTATGTTGAGAAGTTGGCCATCATTTTCATGAAATTGCTGCTCCTTGGAATGTCTTTTATGCCTTCCTGGCTATTTTTGTGACACCCCTTCTGCCACTGTGTGTCTGTACGTTTATGGCACACAGGGCTGTGGTTTTATTTTTATTTCTTATGCTTAGTTCTTGTGGGCCTTGGTGTTCCTTCAGAATTTGGATCTGGGAGTATAGTTTTGTGGTAGACAGTCAGTGTGCATCAAGCTCTAGGTTCAATCCTCAGGAATGCAGAAGAGCTCCGTTCACTGACTCCTGAAGCTTAGTTAATGTCGTTTTCATCTGGGGACTTGTCCACGGATTCTTCTCTGTAGTTTCTACTTCTTCGCTAACATTCTCAGCCCTATTTTCTATCTTTAAACATACTACACATCGCCATTTTAGAGCCCTATCTTATAACTATTGTTTGGGTTCTAAGTTTTGAAATGTGTGTTATTTCCTCTGCTGAGATCATCAACCTATGAAGAGAAAAGCTTCACTTTGGCCCATAGCTTTGGAGTCTACAATCCATGGCTGACTGGCCTGACTGCATTGGGCTTATCCTGGCACATCTGGTGGAAGAATGCAATGGAGTAAGGTGTTTTTGTCATAGTTGAGGTTGCAGGGAGAAGGGAAGGTGTAGGGGATAAGGAGAAATGGGCTTCCTACAATCCTCTGTGAGGACCCATCCCCCAAACTTCTCACTAGGTTCCATCTATTAGAAGTTCCTTCACTTGCCAATGGTGCCACTGTGCGGAACAAGCAGTTCATACATGGGAGGGGATGGCAGACTGGAATTCTGCCAGGTGCTCTATTTTGAATGGATGGTCCAACATTGTGGCAGTTTGGATGACAATGGCCCCCACAAGCTCGTCTATTTGCATGCTCAGTCCTCAGCTGATGAATTGTTTGGAAAGGTTTACATGTGACTTGTTGGCGGAGGTGTGCCACTGGGGTGGGCTTTGAGGTTTCAAAAGCTCAGCCAGGCCCAGTCTCTCTCTGCATGCTGCCCGTGGATCAGGATGTAAACCTCTCAACTACTTCTCCAGCACGTCTGCTTGAGTGCCGCTGCCGCCACGATCCCGCCATGGTAATGGACTAACTTTCTGAAACTGTAAACAAGCTCCCAATGAAATACTTCCACATTTACCTTGGTGATGGTGTCTCTCCATAGCCACAGAACATCCACTAAGGCAAATATTAAATATAAAGTATTGTAAAAAAACAACTTTTAAAAGGAAGTCTAGAGGACTTACATTCACTGAGTGGTGACTAGATACAAAAGGAATCTAGGCCACCTTGACCAGTTTACAGGAGTCAGGATTTACACTGCACTGCCTTGATCCCCGTCAACTTTGAATGTCATGTCAGCCTCATGTGTGCTCAGTTATTCGGGTCCCCCACTTCACTCCTTCCTCCCTGGAAAGCCCTGAGCTCCAATTGCTGTCCCCAAAGTATTTCCTGGCGCCTTGACTTCCAACTACCATTTCCGGAGCTGTCACGGGCTTCCGGTAGGAAGCAGCCCACCCACAGAAGAGCATGTGATGTGGGGATAGCCCCAAAGCAGGTGCCTCAGGTGCTGCATGAAGGACTCACATGTGCCCAGGCGCCATTCAGAGGAAAGCAAGGTGAGGACAGGGCAGCAGACAGCCAGATGTTTGACGCACAGGTCCGTAACAACCTCAACCTTTGTTTTTTGGGGAAATCAGAGATGGAATCTAGACTGGAATGGATTAATAAATGATGAAAGGGGGAACCGTGATCATTTTAGGATAATGTAGGGTCAAGGCATGGCATTATGTTAATGATGAAAACCTTCTCATTTCAAACTGCTACCTTTGGGGATAAAGTCCAATGCAGCCTGTTAATGCAATCCTTATAAGTGACCATTACAAAGAGCTTTTAACCTCATGAGAACATTTTTCTGTATGAAAAAAGATATAATATTGTCTGTCTAATAAATTCAATCAGATAAACCACAGCCAGATGTCTAAACTAGTTTAGGGTGTAACCTAAAACTCTATTTTACTACATTGTAACACCTGCAAAAGTTCAACTCAGAAATTTCTTGGATTTATTAACTGAAATTAGTCCCCAAATAATCTTTTTAACATTGATGGAATAAACTGGTCCATATGCTAAGTAAATGGGCTAATAACAGACTACAATTAGCACACTTTAATAGGCTTAGCCATTTCTAAAGGTAACTATTGTCTTAGGATTCCAGAAGTTCCTGTACATTTAGTTGGAAATCAAGTAAGGAATACGGCAAGTTCTCATCTGAAGGGCACATATCCATTGTCCTTTTAAGTGTATGTAAATCATCCCTGAGCAACAAGAGAGTGGAAATGAAGTCCTGATCACTTTATGGAAATTTCCTCTGACCTTCAATTTTGAGTTCATATACCCAAGACACTAGGAGCTGGTGGCCCCACTGGGTAATCAGTAGCAAGAATTGTATAAGGAGTCAGAACTCTGGGATGGCCTCTGGTTGTGAGAACACCCACAATGAAGAGTACCGTTTTACTTATACATAATAAAAACTATTTGGAAAGATTGGTAAGATTTTATTGGAGAGACACTGGGATGGTATCTCAGTTGGTAAAGTGCTTGCCATCCAAGCATGATGGCCTGAGTTTTATACCCAGTACCCACGTTAAAAAGCCGGACACAGTGGCATGGACTTCTAACTCCTCTGCTGGGGAGGTGGACGCAGATGGGGCTCATCGACTGGCCAGCTTAGGCCACTCAGCAAGCCCCAAGTCTCTGAGGAAGACACTGCCCCAGGCTGACCTCTGGTCTCCACAAGCATGGGTAGGCACCCACACACATGTATACCCCTCTCCCAACACAAAGAACAAGATCTTACTGGTCATATTTTATTTCAAGTGCTTACGGTTTCTAAACTAAAATATATGAAAAATGATACACTGTATGGACTGTTCACACCATGTTAAATGTTAAAACAGTATGACATTTGAAAATACTAGAAAATTAACTACATTTCAAATAAATATATGTATATGTTGTTAACCATTGAAAGGATTCATTATTATTTAAAAAAAACTGATATAAATGTCTTTTAAATATGTAATTATACACCTGCTGACTTTTAAAAAGACAAACTACTTTTCAGACATTTAACAAAGCAGTAAAAAAACCATCTAATCTTGTACAAATGTCTTTAGCTACCAAAACCTATAAGAACTCATACAGCACAAATATTGGCCAACTACTTCTACCCATGTTAGGCACAGAGGAGCTGCTGTTTGAGTCATTCAGATGGCTGAGAATCAGCTTTACAGACCTTAGCTTTTCTCTCAGGCATCCCTGGGGCAAGAAGAAAGTCTAGAGAGGTCACACAACTTAGACTCAACTGTTTAACTAGCGCCTCCTCTGACGTCCTCACACTGAGATGTAAAAACGGACTAACACAAATGTATAGGGAGAGGTTTTGAGGAGAAAATCGGATACCCTAAGGGAGGGTCAGCAGCTTGTACAGTGAGGTTCCTCAGAAGGAGTGGATGAGCCTGGATACTGTAGCGCTCCTCATCATCGTTGGTGGCATAGAGCAGTTCCCATGAAAGATTGGCCCACTGGCCTCGAACCGCCTCAGCATTCAGCTTCCCGATGCGGACCAGGAGCTCCTGAAGCACCAGGACCCTCGCAGTGTAAACGCCCTGGAAGTGTGAAAGGGAGGCAAGGTCACCGAACATAAAGCAAAACTGCCCATCACACACCAATAGAGACTGGCCTTTGAAGATGCACACGAGTTGCTTAGCTTTCCAATCAAGAATTACCTCTGTTTTCTCAGCTCTCTAAATAAATAGAAGAAAAACTTCACTTAATTACTACGACAGCATTTCAGTTACTTAGTGTCTTCTGACTCTGGCCCATCACTTCACGTGGCCTTGGCAATGCACAGTTGTAAATGTTAGTGGATAGATTGTTATTTTCTTTGATGAGACAAAATACTAGACAAAAAAAAAAAAAAAAACCAACAAAAAACCAAACAAACTTAAGAAAGGAAGGGCTGGAGCTGGAGAGATGGCTCAGTGGTTAAGAGCACTTCAATCAGGTCATGTTTTTATTAGAGTCTACATTCCTTACATATTATAGCAACAAACCTTTTATGAGATATGTAGTTACTTTTCCCATGCTGGTTTGTGTTTTCACTTTCTGACGGTATCTTTTGAAATACAAAGTTTATTTTTTCAACAATGTTTTGCTTTGAGGCAGGGCCTCAGATAGCCCAAGCTAGACTCAAATTCTATACTCTGTGTAGCAGAGGCTGACCACGACGTCTTGATCCTCCTGGGGATAGAATATATGAAAGCCCCCCTTTTTCTTCTCCTCCTCTTCATAAATCTTTTTTTTCTGTATTATTTTGGTTTTTTTTCAACATTTTTAAGATTTACTTTATTTTACATGTTTAATTATTTTACCTGCATGTGCCCAAGGAGGCCAGAAGAGGGATCTGGACTCCTGGAACTAAAGTTACAGATGGCTGTGAGCCACATATGGGTGCTGGGAATTGAACCCGGGTCCTCTGAGCCATCCCTCCACTCCCTTGTTTTGTTGAGACAGGCTCTTATGCGGCCACAGATGTAGACTATGAAGTCCTCTGGAACCAGGAAGGACTCTGAAGTCTTAAGCCTTCTGCTGAGATTACTCATGTGCGACCTTTCAAAGAATTTTATTTTTGGTTAGCTGGCTTTTGTTTAAGACAAGGACTTGCTTTGTAGCCCAGGTTGGCCTCAAACTTGTGGCAATCTTCCTCCCTCAGGCTCCGAGGTCCTGGGTTTAGGAAGCCACTAGACCAGCAAATATAGGAAGGCCCCATGCTCTTCCTCTGTTCATCTGTTTTCCTTTTCTGATACAGGGGTTCAACCGAAGGTCTTGGACGAGGCAAACATTCTACCAAGGAGCCATTTCCGCACTCCGGGTTAACCTATTGACTTTCTTTCTTTCTGACACAGGCCTCACACAGTCAGGATGAACGAGAATCTGTGTCATAGCCATGGATAGCCTTGAACGTGTGATCCCCTTGCCCCTACCTTCCGGTAACTATGTTACCCCGTCTGGTTTTATGTGGTGCCGAGAGTTCAGAACCTAGGGGTTCAAGCACCCTACACAAGCTCTCGAGCAACTGGGCTGCCTCTCTAGCCTCAAGGTTTTCCTTCAATTCTTTTCATTCTCATTTTTGATGTGTATGGATGTACATCTGTACACTATATGCATAGAGTGCCTGAGAAGACCGGAAGAGAGTGCTGGGTCTCCTGGGAGTTCCAGATGGTTGAGCGGTGCCATGTGGTTGCTGGAATTGAACCTGGGTCCTCTGGAAAAGTAGGCAGTGCTCTTCACTGCTGAGCTATAGCTCCATCCCTTAAACATTTTATTTTTAATGACGTATATCAATGTGGTTTCATCTGTTCCTCATACTTTTGTTATCATGTCTAAGAATTTATTTTCAAGTTTGAGGTTATGAAAATTACGCTCATATTTTCTCCTAAAATTTCCATGGTTTTAGCTGTAACATTTAGGTTTTGTTTTTTTTTTTTATGCAATGGAGGTCAGTTATTTAATTTGGCGTTAGCTGAGACCTTTAGTAGACAGGACAGCATCTTCAAATAAGATGAATGTAAGTCCTATCCCACAGCACCTGTGAATATGACCTTTATTGGAATGGGTACTTGCCAATGTAACTTTGCTTACAATGGGTACTTTGCAAATGTAATAATGTAAGGATTTTGAGATGCGATCATCCTGGATTTCCATGGATCCTAAGCCAATGTCTGGTATCCTTATAACAGAAGGGAGCAAGAAATCTCCCCGGGACACAGAAAAGAAGGCCCCGTGAAATGGAGACTGGCGTTAGAGCTAGACAGGCTGAGGAATTCGAGGAGGCAGCAGAAACAGGAGAGGTTAAGGGAAGAACTCTTCTCTAGAGCCTTCAGAGGGAGCATGGCCTCCTGACTCCCAACTTGCAAAACTGGGAGACAAGAAATTTGTTTTTTGAAGTCACCCAGTCTGTAGGAATGGCTTTTTGTAGCAGCCATGGGAAAATGGCATCCACAATCTATGCTTCTCTTAATGGAGGGCACTCCACTGTCTCAGTGCCATTTGTTGAAAACAATGACTTTTCCATTACACGGTCTCGGCAGCCTTGTTGGAAATCAGTTGAACAGGACTATTCTTATGTCTATTTCACACACTTACACACTACCTTTATGCAGAACCACACAGGATCAGCTACCTTTCTGGAGTATTTTGAAATTCACAGGTCACCAATTTTCTTTTGAAAAGATTTTCCTGGCTATTCTGAGTCTCTTGACATTTCATGAGTTCTAGAAAACCACTCTGCCGATTTTCACAGGCAGACGGACCTTGAATGGGGCTGTGCTAAGTCTATAGATTAATTGGAAGAGCATTGCCATTTTAAACTTAGAACAATTTTTTTTATGTGCATCGGTGTTTAGCCTGCATGTAGGTATGTGCACTATCTGCATGCCTACTGCCCATGGAGGTCAGAAGAGGGTACTGGACTCTCTGGAGCTGGAACTGCAGGTGATTGTGAGCCATGGGAGTGGTGGTGGGAATTGAACCTGGGTCCTCTAGAAGAACAGCCAGTGCTCTTAACTGCTGAGTCATCTCTGCAGTCCCAGGTATTACCATTTGAACATTATAGTTTGATCACAACATGGGTATTTTATAAACATGAGTGGTTTTACTTGGATTTTTAATTCCTTCTTTCAACAGTGTTTTACAGTTTTCAGAGTGCATGTTTTATACTTATTACATTTCTACCTGTTTTGTTTGTTTTGGAGACAGGGTCTTACTATACTAGATAGCGTGAATTCACGGATCCTCTTGCCTTAGCTTTCTGCATGTAGAGACTCAAGGCATGAGCTACTATGCCTGCCTTGCATTTTTTCCTTGAATTTTATTTATTCATTGTGTGTGTACAGACACATGTCACGGAGGTCAGAGGACAACTTTTGGAAGTTTATGCTCTTTCACCACGTGGGTCCTGAAGAGGGGACTCAAGTCATCAGATTTGGTGGCAGGTGTGCCTTCACCTGCTAAGCCATGTCATTGGTCCTTTATTCTTTTTGGTGTAATATAAGTGGGATTTTGGTTTGTTCATTGCTAGTATATGAAAATACAAAAGATTTTTATACTGACCAACTTCTTATATCCTACAGTTACCCTGAGCAGTTTTAAAATGGACTCCTTACATTCTGAACACAGACTGTACCACCTGCAATAGTGTTCTTCCTCTGTTCTGCTCCAGATGTGTTTCTTTCTTTTTCCCGCCTCAATTACTCTGTCGTCATGGCTCAGTGTTACAGTGGATTTAGGCTAAGTAGGGCGGCACAAGTCTCCAGTCCTTGCAACCTGAGTGACTGAGCCAGGATGATCACAGGGCTTGGGTTTTTATAAATCCCACAACTATCTGGGCAAAATAGTGAGACCCTTGCTGAACGGTGGACAGAGAAAAGAGAAGAGAGAGACAAATCGGGGTTTGTTCTCTCACTGTAGAGGTGGGGAGTCTGTGGTCAGGGTTAGGCTGCAGCGAGGCCGCCTTTTGCTGGCTCCTTCCTCTGTCTCTTATGGTACACACACAGGAGGGTCTAAGGCCACCTTGTGTTATAAGGCCACTAGTCCTATCACACAGTTCAAGATTTATAATCTCATGAAATCATAATTACTTCCTAATACACTGAGGCAAGGGTTTCAGTATGAATTTGGGACAGAAACAACCAGTTCATTACATACAGACATAAATTCCAGCACAATATTACAATTGTAATTATATTTAATAACTAATAACCAATTGCACATCTCAGTGTATCTATACTGTGGCTAATGAATCATTTCTTTTGGGGAGTACTTCAGAGCTCAACTTTTATTTGATTTTTATTTATTTTTTTCTGTTCTTGCTATATATTTTAATATCAGATTCAATTGCTAGAAAAATGTTTTTACTACGAAAGGGTATTGGATTTTGTTAACGAGATTTTTTTATCTACTGAGATAATTATGGAGCCTTTGTTTCTTATTCTATTGTTACTATGTATGACATTAATTGGCTTTTTTATATATTAAACAAATATTATATACTATTCTGGCACAAGAGTTATTTTTATAGGTTGCTGGAACAGTTTGCTAATATATTGTTGAGAATTTTGCACCCATAATGATAGAGTTAGTTCTTTGCCCAATACAGCTTGCTCTGCTGATTTCTTTTGTGTAATTCCTAGAAAGCACTTTTCCTTCGTTACAAGCCCAAGGGTACACTAAGTACGTATCTCAGGGTATCCACCCCATGGCTAATGAATCATTTCTTTTGGGGAGTTCTTCAGAGCTCAACTTCCACTTGATTTTCATTTATTATATTTTTCTGATTTGCCTTTCTCACAGGGCAAAATTTCTGAGCTGGAGCTCTGGATCTGGAGATGTAACTACCATAGGCTGCTCCCTGACAGACACTGTCGGAGACAACACTCTGTGGTGGGCAGAAGGAACTAAGGTCCATTCAGCTCATCTCTTTCCATGTACAGCCTCCATCAAGTGAACAGGCAAGCAGAGTCAAGGCCCTGATTCCTGGTAGTAGCATGTGGAAGGTAAAGCCTCCTGTGAGGAGGCCAGACAGGAACCCACTTCCTGACTGCGTCTGGAATCTGGCCTCAGCATTTACAGTGGGGACAAGGATAAGAACATGGACGTCCCAGTCCCACTGCCTGGGGATGTGAGTGTTCTTTATTCTTGTCCCCACTGTAACTGCTGGGCCAGATTCCAGACGTCCTGAGTGGTGAGCTGGCTGTATGGAACCTAGTGCCTATGCTGAGACACTTTGCTCAGCCTGGGTGCAGGGAGGAGGGGACTGGAGCTGCCTCACCTGAATCTACCAGATTGAGCTGAATCCCCAGGGGAGACCTTGCTTTGGAGGAGGTGGGAATGGGGTGGATTGGGGGGGAACTGGGGGGTGGGAGGTGGGAGGACAGGGGAATCCATGGCTGATATGTAAAATTAAATTAATTATTAAAAAAAAAAAGAACCCGGACGTCCCAGCCTCCAGGGACACTTCTCCCTTCCCTGGGAGTGGAGGAGGGCGAGCACTGTGTCCTTAGTTGTAGCACTCTAATGGAGTTTCTGTCTCCATCAGAGGAAGGAGGCAACAGCAGAGCTCCAATGCCTGGCTTCATGCTATTCTTTAATATTGGTGTTTAAGAGACTTTTCTAAACTAATGTTTATTTGCTATATGCCTTAGGGTTATAACCTTTCAAGGTAATCCCCGCCCCCCCAGCTGAGGACCGAACCCAGGGCCTTGTGCTTGCTAGGCAAGCACTCTACCACTGAGCTAAATCCCCAACCCCTCAAGGTATTTTAAAAAAAAAATCATTTTTGTTGGCAAAAATATGATGAACTCCTTTTATTCTTGCCACAATGCTAGATAGACCTGAAACCCAAAATAGGCTCATTCCATTTTTAATATTGTGTTCAATCAAGGATTTTTTTTTCCGAGACAGGGTTTCTCTGTGTAGTTATGGTGTCTGTCCTGGATCCCGCTCTGAAGACCAGGCTGGCCTTGAACTCAGAGATCCGCCTACCTCTGCCTCCCGAGTGCTGGGATCAAAGGTGTGCGCCACCACCTCCTGGCCCAATCAAGGATATTTTTAAATGTAATAAGAACACGTCCTAAGTGTTTTTAAAAAGTCCTCTATTTGAAGAATCTCCGAATTCTCAAAGGTTGGGTTTGATTCAAATGAAGCATATATGTCGGCAGAAGTAGTAATTTGCCACTTACAAATTAATTTCTCTTCTTGGAGTTAGCACTAAAGTGGTAATTCTTACACTTGAACAGGGCATAAAACCCCACAAAGTATTTCATCAACTATGCTATACAGCAGATTGCATACACTGGCTATCTTATAGATAGATCAGCTGCTGTACGGTAATTCCACAACAGTTTCAACTGTTCCCCATTTGGCTGGCAAAAGAAAATGTATTCTAGATTACACCGCCTGATCATACAGCTGTACTTACAAATGCAACTGTCATAACACGTTATTAACTAGAGTGTCACACCATTTAACAGTTCAAATATTGTACATTTCCCAATCTTTAAGGTTAATTCATGAAAATGCCTTACCATACTAGACTCATAGCCCAGGGAAAACAAGCATGGCTTTTCTTCTAGAATTGCTTCTTTCCACTGCTCTTCAGTCACTAAACCAATATACCAGTCCCTCTCGTATTCTCTGAGGCAGTCGATCAGTTCTTTAAAGTCTTCTATCGGACCCAAACTTGCTTTATCAACCATTAGTTTCAGTGTATACCTAAAAAATGGACACCCAAACAATTTCAGAATAATTTATAATACACTTTAAAGATGAGAGACATCTATTGACTATTTTTAAGGCTCTGAAGTGAAACGTCTCATTTCAAGACAACTCTGGTGGTACATGTGTAACAACCAGCAGGGAAGGGGTGGGAGTACAGTGACTAGGCATCCCTGGCTCTCCAGAATGAGCTCCAGGCCAGCCTGGGATCATGTCTCAACAGCCAGCCTCCCCTAAAATGAAATCATCCATTGCAGATAAAAACTGAGGGAAATGGGGCTGGAGATACAGCTCAGCCGCTGTGGACTGGTCTAGCATGCAGAGCTAAGCCCCGGATTCGATTCCCAGCACCATGTAAACCAGGTGGTGGTGTCTCATGCCTCTAACCCCAGCACTCTGGAGGTGGAGGCAGGCTATGCAGGTTCCATCCCCAACACTGAGAAAAATTAAAAACCCACAAAACCCTCAACAAACAAAATGAGGGAGAAATGAAAACAGCTGAAATGAAGAAATCCAGTAAGTCATATTAAAAATATCCTCTATATAGCTGGGCGCTCAGAAGGCAGAGGCAGGTGGATCTCTGTGAGTTTGAGGCTAGCCTAGTCTACAGAGCGATTTCCAGGACAGCTAGGGCTATTACACAGAGATACCTTGTCTGGAAAAAAAAATCCTCTACACAAACAAAATCAAAAATGTAGAAATTAAACCGTTTCCAATTAAATCATGCTATAGACCAAGCCTTTTCTTTATATTTATGAAAGCAATAAAAAACTGTAAATGAATCTTCTAGTGGTTAAAAAAAAAAAAAAGAACAACCTGTGTATAATCAAAATGAGTTACCTGAATGCTTTCTGAACTAGTTGGAAGAGTTCTGGTTTTTCTGAGAGCCAATCCAAGGTGCCAGAGCAGGGTAAGCCACCATTGTAGACTCTTACTATTTGACCAGGACTAGGCACCATGTTGTCTATTCCAAATAAACCAATATAACAAGCCATCACTGTATGGATATACACGGCTTTTAAAGCTTTATCCTTTGCGATTTCTTCCAGTACATCTGACTTTTCCTCTGAGTGAAAACACTCTACCTGTCTTAGAACGAACTGATACCAGTCTTCTGGAAACAAGGGACTTGCCTCCATTATTCTGGAATGGGGTGTACAGTTAGACCTCCACTCTTCGGGTACACTCAGCAAGTGTGACTGTGAACAACTGAACTCCACGAGAGGTATGGACGCCATGTCTTCTCGCTGGCCCTTGTCAACAGCAGGGAATCCCAACAACATCGTCCTGTACAGGTCATTCTGGGGACCTGTGCTTGTGGAACGGTCATCTGCACTCTGGGAGTCTACTGACCCTGGAATGGGCAGATTGGTTCCTGGTCGATCTTCGAACTGAAGTTTTTCTTTTTTGTTTTTGATAGTTGGTTCATCATCAAAAATACAATCATCAGACCAGTCATGGAAAGTGTCTGAATTTAAACTATCTGAGTCTTCCAGGGATTTGGGGCACGGTGATGTGTTCAAGGCAGGCAGGACCACTGGTAAGGCTTCTCTGTTATTTTCAGTTCTGTGAATATTCTCCTGCAGGCTGGGCCTTTTAGAGCAGTACTGAATAAGCACCCATACAAGCACTTTCACAAGGTCATCTCTAAATTCCTGCAAGTTTTCATGAGAATCAATTATGCCAGTTAGGACACTCTTGGCATCAGAGTACAGTTTCACAGGCAAAACAGCACACGGCATCAAGACATTGCCCACGTGCTCATTGAGGGACCACGTTCGGGGGGGTTCTTGCTGAAAAGCACTTTCAAACACTTCGTCTACTCTCTGGGCTTCAGCAGTGTGGCAGGATGTCTCCTGTAGTTCTAACCCCTAAGGATGAAAGAGAAGCACTTGGGTTCATGGCTGTCTCTTACCCAGGGAACAGAAACCAGTCTCTTGAGGGCAATGGAGTATCTCCTCACACAGATATGGAACAAGCAAAAGCAGACTCCAACCAAGTCTGGAGCAGCTCCCTCTTCAACTCTGTCATCTGACACATTTGATGTTGCATAAAGAGATTACAATCAAGGCTACTTCGATTTTAAAAGAAATTACAGAAAATTCCACAAGAAGTTGGTCACTGAGTATGGCCATACCTTCATAAGACTATCTGTTGTCAAGGTTGAGTCACACATGAAAAACTGTTAAGTCAGACTTGCTTCGTGGGAGGGGAAGGAAAAGCATGACTGTAAAGTGTGTGGTGATAGCTCTGTATTTTTTCACCTTACTTTTTTATGAGACGAAGATAATTATTCTAATGTATGGAAGTACCATAATTTATCAAATCATTATTTTAATTTCTAATAACATTCATGTGATTACTGTCTGTCTCAACCAAACGCAGCATCAATTTCATAGAGCAGCTGTCTTTGGTTATGATTGTATTCCCAGTGTCTAAACCAGTACCTACGAGGAGATGATATGCATAAGCAACTGCTGAACGAATATGTTCTTCTATCAATTTTAGACACGTTAATTACGTCTTAAAGAGGACATAGCCATTTACTCTTCACTATTATAGCTGTTAACTTATTTACGTATATTACAAAACCACTAGTACTTTTGTAACCCATTTCTAAACCACTGCTCCACACCACACCATGGGCTACACAAGACCTCAAGAGATCTGCCATATTCTCCAAGGTTCTTAATATTTCAGAGGAAAAAAGTCAACTCTAGAAGATAAGTAAGTGTGGAGAGTTCAACCGTGAGTGGGCATCTACATCACGCCCACTTCTCCCACAGCTTAAGAGACTATCAGCAGGACAGAGCAGAGAGATTTTAGGAGCCTGCGCTGGGAGGGACTGCTGTAAACCAGTGTCTTCTGGACATGACAAGGCTGCTGCTCTCCCGGATCCACAGGTTGTGGTTGCCAGCCCACGACCAAGCAGTCAACGTGGACAGCGTGGGCAGAGGAGGGAAGGGTTCATGATGCCCCATCCCTAGCTAAGGAGCTTTCGGCAACTGATGACTGCCGGGGGGGGGGGGGGGGGGGGGGGGGGGGGAGATCCGCTTTCTCTGGGTGTGGCCCAGAGGTTGTCAATGCTCCAGCAGATGGTCCTACACCCATGCATATTTAGCACACTAGCAGCACTGATTGGACTCAGAGAGTTATTTAAAAAAAAAAAAAAAGACAGATGTTGGCTGGGGTCCTAGATGAAGAAGGGTCTGCAAAGAGTTGGAGGATGGAGTGGGCGTGGATACGATCTAAATACATTGTCTGCATGTATGAAGTTACCAAAGGGGGAAAAAATAATTCTAGTAAATAGGTTGATGAAGATTAAGTTTTGTAACCTTCAAAGTAATACAAATGTTAGTAAGTGGTAAATCTTAAGCAGCTTGGTCAAAAAAAAAAAAGTAAAGAAAAAAGAAAATAACAAAAAAGTACCTATAAATATTTATGTGTGAAAAAATCATGAAAGACCATTAAAAGGATATATGTCATTGGGTAACAGTAAACTGTATGGCTTAAAAATGTAATAAAGTAAAGGAAAAATACTCATGATAATCTGTTTGTACTTCAGGTGCGTCAGAATGACGTCAGGGCACCTTAGTATACCGACGGACTGCACTGGCACTCAAGTCTGGATTTGGTAGGTCCAGGGTGGAATCAGGCATTCCCACTGGCAGTTAATTTACCTCGGCTGGGGACTGAATTTTGAGAGCCACTGTTGTAAAGGAACAGCTTTTTGGTCACTAGCACTTTCATCCAATCTCTGTTAAGACAAGGAATGGACACATTCACTCTGGACTCAGGACTATTTATTAGAGGTCTGCTCTGTGTTAGGAACTATTCCAGGGCCTTAGGTTACATTCTTGGATAAAAGCATGAGCACTGTGTCCCTGTGATATTACATTAGTGAAGGACACAGACAATCAATAAGAAGCAATCATTTCTTTACTTCTAGAAGGTGTAACACAGGCAAGGCAAGGGCTGGGACTGCGGGATGGAGTGGTCATAGCTTTAAACACAAGGGCTACAACACCTAGAAGTCTCGAAGGTGTAAGGGATTCAGCAACATGACTGATTACCTGAAGGGAAAGGAGACAGCCAGTGGGCTGGAACAGAGGTTAAGTAGCACCTAAGGTCAAAGAAGTAATAGAAAGCCTGGCTATTTAAGGCCTTGGCTTTAAATGAACGAGGTCCACTACAGCAGCGGTTCTCAACCTTCTTAATGCTGCAACCCTTTAACACAGTTCCTCATGGTGTGGGGACCCCCTGCCATAAAATGATTTTATTGCTATTTCATAACTGGAATTTTGCTACTGTTATGAATCATACTGTAAATAAATAGCTGATATGCAGGATATCTGATACAAGACCCCCAAAGGGGTCACAACAGGTTGAAATCCGCTGCACTAAAGGGTTTCCAATAGAGAAGTGACCTGACCGATCTTATTTTCTTTTTTTTTTTCTTTTTTTTTTTTTTTTTTGGTTTTTCGAGACAGGGTTTCTCTGTGTAGCTTTGCGCCTTTCCTAGAACTCACTTAGTAGTCCAGGCTGGCCTCGAACTCACAGAGATCCGCCTGGCTCTGCCTCCCGAGTGCTGGGATTAAAGGCGTGCGCCACCACCGCCCGGCTCCCGATCTTATTTTCAAGGTCATTTTGGTTGACAATAGATTAAGAGGCTACTTCAGTCATCTGGGGTGGGTAAGGGATGAAGATGAGCAGGGTAGTGAAAAGTGATGGAGACAGGACTGGGTGTCTCTGCAGACTGAATGTAGGAAGCGCAGAGGTATGCATTACTTTAGACCTGAGCAACCACAAGAACAGTTGTCTTGGAGGACTGCCAGGCTCTGGGACTCTGATGTGAAGAGGTCACAGTAAAGAACTCATGCAACAAGAGCCTCATGTCAACTGCTGCTGACTGGCTAAGTGGGGCGGGTCTGAGGATAAACACAGGAGTTAGCCAAGTGAGTCACTGAGGACCTTGACAAGGGCAGGATTGATAACAGAGTCAAAGACCTAAGTAAGGTGAAGACAGATGGGAAGGATGGAATTGGAGACTTAGAGTAAACAATCTGAATAAAGCATTTGGCCCTTAAAAGAAGAATAATGGTGTAGCATGTAGGGTAGTGGGGTGTAGGGAAGATCATTTTTAGTAATCCAAAAACGTTTATATGATACATGTGAATTTAAGAAACCACTGATTCACATTGTTGAGATGCTCAACTAGATGGATGACAAGAACAAGACTAGGAAATGGGGCTGGAGAGATGCACAGCCATTAAGAGCACTAGCGGCTCTTCCAGAGGACGCAGGTTCGATTCCCAGCACCCACATGGTGGCTCATAACCATCTGTAACTCCAGTTCCAGGGGGTCTGATGCCTTCTTCTGACCTCCATAAGCATCAGGCATGCCTCACACATGCAGGCAACACACCCATACACATAATAAATTGATAGTAATAAATTTGTAAAAAGACTAGAAACAAAGTCAGTTTAGTTCCCATGCTCTAGGATGCAATGAGCACAAGTCAGCTATCAATATGTGCTTATTGAAATATATCTTTAAAAATCATCAGGTGTTTTCATCAACCAAGATCTGCTTCTTTCAAGCTAAGTAATGGTTTGATGTGTACATAACAGGTACATTTTAGGTATGCTCTCTAAAAACCACTGGGGAAGGTTCCAGTGATACTGACCTTCACATTAACGCAGCAGTAGGAATAGCCACGCTCGAGGACCATTATCCATATTAGACGATCCTCAAAACGGCCCAAGTAATGAGAGCCAGGGAGGAGGGGGCCTAAAAGAAATCAGAAATGGGAAGGAAAGTAAGAAATAACTCTCTGAGCTTGTTTTAGTCCATTCTATGAAAATTTAAAATTAGGTATCTAGAACCCTATTTCAATGACTTTGTCCATCATTAGGTCAATAGAAAGAAGAACCTGCTGCATATCGTGAGGTGAAGCTCTTCAGGAGCACTCAGAAGAGACAATGTATAGGTGACAAGACATGAAAATTTAGGATGTTTGTCAGAAAAATGACCAGGTGGAAACTACTGAATAAAATGCCAGACACACGTCAGACATATATATTAGGGAAAGTATGAAAGGTATGCAAGCCAATTTCACATTGATCTAAAAGACAAAATATAACAATGTCTTATGGTTTTGAGATTTTGTATAATTTATACAAAATATATAAATGTACATCATTTATATATTTTAATATATAAATATAATGTATATCATTCGTGAGGCATAAATATTTTTAAAGCTTAGGTCCTCTTTCAACACAGTATCTTTGAGACTTATTCATGCTGACTGCAACCAGTGCAAGTTCATTCACAGCTGATAGAATTCACTGTATGAATACAGCTGAATCTGAGTATTCCTTTCCTGGCTGATGAACAATTCAGGGATTTTCATTTCTTCCTCATTAGAAGTAACAGTTGTGGGAACTGGTTTTGGTAAGTCTCTTTATTCAACTGTGGCGTTGACAAGTAAACTCAGCAGGACCGGCTGCCATCCGGAAGTGTCGCTCACTAGGGATTCTGAGCGAGTGCCTGGTGTGGATCTTTCACTGTCGCTCACCGTTTGTACACAGTACACCTGCTTTCCTTTACAGGTCTCCTGACGGATGTTCTACGCAGGGTGACCCACACAAGCATCTTTACGGATGGAACCTATGGTATCCATCTGATAGAAATTCACTAGAAGATGGTGGAAGTTATGAGCAGAAAAGTGTTTCTATGTTTCGATGGTGAGCTTGTCATCTGAGTTTATTTAAGCAAATGTTTTCCTTTTCAAGCTGTCAAATCACGCTAATGAAATTTTCCCTAAGTATTTTTATTTTATAATTTTATCTCCAAATAAGCAGCAGAGATATAATTCTACTTCATAGTTAGTCTCTGCCTATACATCAAAGTACTGGAACCTGTTTTATGGTTGGATCAAAAGGATTTTGTTTGTGTTTTTTTGGTTCCTAAGAACTTTGGGGCCCGGCCCACCGCTCACCGAAACTTCCAGCTGCCATTGCAGTCTGCAGCGCCGCGGTCAAGCGGGGGACCATCTGCTGGTAGAACACGGTGTCTGTGCACACGCAAGCTGTGGTGCCCACCGCTCCTGGCCAGCTCTGAACCGGACGAGGAAACCCCACCAGGAAGATAGGAAGGGTGAAGAGGGGCAGTAGAGGGGATGATAGCAGTGCCGAGAAAACTATAACAATCAACACACAGGGAGCGAATACAGTGTTGAGGACACACAGCGCTGTTGTTGTTTTTCTGTGCTGTTTTTTTTCTGTCCATGATGCCAAGAGTACAGTCATGGCAAACTGCAATTTAGTGATGAACTGAAGCACACGGTCTCGCATGACACCAACCTGTGGATACATAAAAATAATTATGTATTATGCCTTATGAATTTTCAAAAGTCACAAAAGGAAAAAAAAAATCACATAGTAATTATATTACTGCCTCATTATTTTGAGGGAACAGCTCTAACATGTAATTCCTTGTTATAATTTTCTGCAACCTCAAAATTAATAAACAAGAAACTACATTTAGGGTTTCTATTGCTGTGAAGAGACACCATGACCATGGCTACTCTTATATTTAAAAAAAAAACCCAAAACATTTAATTGGGGCTGGCTTACAGGTTCAGAGGTTTAGTCCATTATCATCATGGTGAGAAGCATGGCGGCATGCAGGCAGACATGGTGCTGGAGAAGGAGCTGAGAGTTCTATATCCAGATTGGCAGGCAGCAGGAAGAGAGTGAGACACTGGGCCTGACTTGAATATCTGAGACCTCAAAGCCCACCCCCAGTGACACACTTCCTCCAACAAAGATACACCCACTCCAACAAAACCACACCTCCGTATAGTGCCACTCTCTATGGGCCTAGAGGGGCCATTTTCATTAAAACCATCACAATAGCCGGGCGGTGGTGGTGCATGCCTTTAATCCCAGTACTCAGGAGGCAGAGCTAGGCAGATCTCTGTTAGTTCGAGGCCAACCTGGTCTACAAAGCGAGTTCCACGAAAGGCGCAAAGCCAAACAGAGAAACCCTGTCTCAAAAAACCAAAAAAACAAAACAACAACAAAAAAACCCATCACAATAAGTTCCGTCTTTTTTACTTTCTTTCTTTCTTTCTTTTTTTTTTTTTTTGAGGCAAGATCTTATATAGCCCAGGCTGGCCTTAAACTTGCTATGTAGTTGAAGATGACCTTGGCCTCCCAATCCTCTTGGCCTCCACTTCCTGAGAGGTTAGGAATACAGACCCCAGCTGGCACTGGCAGGTTCTGGGCATGCTTGGGATCTTTCATGCAAACTCATCACTCCACCAAGTAGGCTACATACTCAAGCCAAGTTTGGTCTTTCCAAAAACAAAACCAAAAAAACCTAAGTTACACTACACCACTTAAATCTTATGGGTAAATAATTAATCACAAGCTATTAAATTAGGTGACTAGGATAAACTCTAGGAAAACACACATATTGAAGCCAAATAAAGAAGAAAAAAAGACTAGCTTGATAACAAGAGTGAATTAGACGACACTGAATTAACTAAGATTAAACTAGTATTTTTATATTCAAAGTATAGATGTGCTAGTTAGATATATTTCATTTCTAAAATGTAGTACAATAATTAAAATTTATGACTCAACATGTATTCAGCTAAGTAGTATTTTGTTACTGCTATTTTTTCTTTTTCAATAATTATTCTTTCTGACAATTTTATACATGTATACAATGCATTCTGATTACACGCCCACAATCCTGCCCACAATCCTCTCTTACCTCGTCTAGCCTGTCAGTCCCCATTCTTTACTACAAATCTTCCTCCATATTCATGACTTTTGGCTTTGTTACCTGAGTTTAATGTGGGGCATCTGTGTGATGCTGGGTTTGGAACTGTCCACTGAAGCCTTGATGGGTTTGACAATGGGCACACAACTGAAAACAAGGACTCCCCAAACTACCCACACAGAACAGCTGAGGTTTGGATGCCGTCAATATTATGAAATACTATAAACTATAAAACACCTAAATATTAATATTTACTGGATATTATAAAACATTAGGAATGGTCAATACCAATCTTTTTCCAGAGAACGAAAGGATATGGAATACTGTTAAACTCTATGTATTTATTTATTTATTTATTTATTTATTTATTTATTTATTGAGCTGAGGACCGAACCCGGGGCCTTGTGCTTGCTAGGCAAGCGCTCTACCACCGAGCTAAATCCCCAACCCCATTATTTATTTATTTATTTATTTATTAAGATTTATTTATTTTATTATGTATGCCTGCAGCTCAGAAGAGGGCACCAGATCTCATTATAGATGGTTGTGAGCCACCATGTGGTTGCTGGGTCTTGAACTCAGAACCTCTGGAAGAGCAGCCAGTGCTCTTAACCTCTGAGCCATTTCTCCAGCCCCTGTTAAACTCATTTTATGTGGTCCTGATATGTAAACCAGACACTATCACAAGGAAAGGTAGCCACAAATACACATATACACATGGCTTAGACACACATCTTGAGAATACAGATAATACCACCACAACATATGAAAAGTGTTGGACTACATGGCCAAGCAGGCTATTTAGGAACAGAAAGTTGGTTTAACAATCAAAACTCAACATATCACACTATGTTAAACACAGAAAAAAACATTTGATAAACTCTAGCACCCTTCATAATAAAAACACTTACTTAGCAATGAAGGGTACGTTATAGGGTAGAGAATATCTATGCAGAATGTTTAATGATAAAAGACTGACATATTAATGAAGGTTAGACACTTTCCTCATGAAATGCCTTTTCTCTTCAAGTGAACATTTTCCTGCTTCTCAACATGAAACAAAACAACAATTACAACAACAATAACAACAAAAATCACTACAGACAGCACTTCACACCATAAGTATGTCATAATAAAAACATCAGGTAACAAGTGTTGAGAATGTAGAACAGGGGAAATCTCATATACCGCTAACCGTGTATTCCAAATGGTATAGTTAGGCTGGAAAGCAATGTGCCAGTAGCCTGAAGCATGAAATGTGGATGACTAGATTTCTACAAATATACCTGTCTGTCTGTCCATCCATCCATCCGTTCAACCATCTACCTACCTACCTATGTCCATGGGAAATAAAAAATACAGCTGTACAAAAATATGTACACAAATGCTCACAGTAATATTCTTGTCAACAGTGAAAAGCAGAAACCTAAATATCTATCATCTGATGGGTGTGTGAACCAGAAGGGGTCTATGGACACACTGGAATTTACTTGACAACAAAGAAGTACTCATATATGCTGTATGAATGAACCTGGAGAGCATATTAAAAAGCTGAAGAAAACAGATGTAAAGACCACACATCCTCTGACACCACTCAGGTAATTCATCCAGAAGGTGAAAATCTGTACAGAGCAAAGCAGACACACGGTGGCTGGAACAGACACAGATGACAGGGAGGGTGCGATGGGGAACGGCTGTTAGTGCATACATTTGGAAATGTTGAAAATGTTAGATGGCAGTGATGGCCGCACTGCTCTGAATATGCAGCACTGATGAAAAAGCCTTCAAGTGGGCGAGTTTTATTGTCTGTAAAAACCCAAAAACCTCTCGACAGAGCTGCTAAAAACATACTTACCAATAACAGTCTCATGCCCGTATTAAGGCTCCTGTTCCACCAGCAGTCTGTGTGGGATACCATGTAGATTGCCCACACAATCACAGTCTCTAGTAAAGCATTTTCTGTGTTCTGCCACACCTACAGTATATAAAGTATCCACTTTTATCAGGTAGAATTCAATAATCTAAGCAAACTGTTGAATAAATACCACAATTACACTCCGCCACAGGAAGGGCTGTGCAATGCATACTGGGATTACCGTTCTGAAAGCCCTGGTGAATCCGATGGAGACAGTCACAGAGTGCAGCCCATGTAAGGAGCTATCCAGTGCAAGGAAGGCCACCATAGCCAAAGGAGACACTGAAGCAAAACAGACAAATCGGGGTGAATTGGATTTCTGCAGAAACCTCTCCTGCCACAGTTTATCTTGGTAAATAGCTTTCATGAGTACACTTAAGCAATTAACTGAAAAACTAATGAGTAACAACAAAAACGAAACTCAAATATGAAGAGTAGTAGGTATACAACGTACATGTGAGGGGTCTTTCCTGACTACCATTTGTAAGAGCCAGGAGATCGAAACCGCCTACCTATAGTTAGCAAGAGCCACCTGACCACCCCAATCTTCAGGAGCTTCTTCTGCTTTTCGGAGAATACAGACACAGCTTGTATATTCTTTGGATAAAAAGGGTTTCGAAAAATTCCGAAGATGTAGATGCTTTGAGTTTCTCCCAGTATCCACAGCATTGAAAGTAACGCCATCAGAACATAGCCCAAGATGGACTGAGAGTTGCTTCTGGAAACCTGGGAGACGCCGGCGTGGTGATGCAGCAGCCCTGCCTCTAGGAGAGCCACACCCAGCACAACGGTGCACAGAAGGCATTCCTTCCTCCCAAACCGATGTCCACAGTTGCCTGGGAAAGCCTTGGGACCCCTTTCTACTCTGGGCCTGGCCACACCGCGCCTGAAGACCAAACTCAGGTCACTTAGGTTAAGACTCAGTAAGAATCCAAGTCCAGTCATGAAAAGCACCACACCAATGGTGCTGGGGATAAAGTAGGACACGACAGGTGTTCCAGCAGAAGTGATGAACATTGCCAATAACCTGTAGGGAAAAGAGGACAGAAGATTTACTTGAAGACCAGCAGGACGGCTCAGTGGGTACCCGAGTTCCATCTGGAGAGCCCACAGGACAGAAGGAGGAAAACGAGACTCCTCTAAGTGTCATGGCAGCACATGAGCACTTACCCCCACACCACACTAGAGAGAGAATGAAAAAGTAAAAACAGAAGTTCCATCGACCTTCAAAACTCGAAACCAAACAACTTACCGTAGGTGAGATGACATGGATGAGCCTCCAAGACCAAACTCTAAAATCTGCTCCACTGCCCAGAAGAAAAGGGCATCGGGTGGGGGGAGAGTCCCAAGTGCCCAGAGGAAAGGCAGTAACACAAACAAGATGTGCAGAATCTGATTCACTTGCTCTAGAGCTGGTATATTTACAATAAACCTATAAGAGAAAATACTTAAATCATACAAAGTACCAAAGAGATCTACAAAATAGCACATATCACAAAAAAGCAAGCTTACAGGAAAGGCCATACTCCCATATCTGTGTGTATTCTGCCCACTGTCCCAAACCAGCAATGACCTCACTTGTGCACCAGCTTTACAGATATCTGGATTCGAATATGCCAAGAGAGAAACTAATACAGCCATCTGCAACACCGAATGCAGGGATTTAAAAAACTGAATAAATGAGGCTGGGACATTCTCCCCCTAAACCTACACTGGCTGAAATCCTACCAACGATTCTCAGACTTTACAAGTGTAAGTAACTCTGGGGAGCCAAGCTGTAGCAACATGCATTTACTAGCAGCTCCTCTCTTCTCTTCTCTCCATCACTGTCCTCCTCGTAGGTCTCAGATTTGAAGTCACTACAGATAATAGCATAGGACAGGTCACTGGGTACTTAATTAGCATTAACAGTACACTTCTATTTTAGACCAGCAATGTTATGGGCTGAAGACATATTTGTATAATACAGTCTCCTCAGAGCAGGGGCAGCCCCTCTTTAAATGGAGATATTGATACTCAGTAAAACATTTAGAGTTAAACATAACAAAACAGATTTAAATTGTTGAATAAAAATGGAAAACATTCTCAACCTTCTGTTAATTTTTCAGAATAAACTTAATCAAACACTATGTCAAGGGGCTAAAATGGTAGCAGTACTAATGGAGTACTAGAGATTTTCAAGAGAAAAAAAAAAAAACAAGACTCAGACTTAGAGCAGAATTGCACTTGAATACCTGAGCTGTTGAGAATCAAAACACAACTGTCATACTTCAGCTTTAAGTTTCCACAGTCTGAACACAAGCATACATTAACTATGGCTATAACAATGGTCTGCACATATTTGCTCATGGGCATGCCTGGCCTACGTCAGTCAGCGTGCTACTTCACACTCTCTGTCCTTCTTTCAAATTGTCATAAGCAGGGAGCAAATGAGCTCAAGATCAATATGCGGTGCTCAATTAGAGGACATACTTTCCAGTGGTAGAATTTGAAATAAAATATACTCCATTCTGAGAAGAAATGTCCAATGAACAAAAAGAATTAAGCAACACATAACAACCTACAGGTGGTAATGGACACCAGGTTAGTCCGTTCTCAAAACCACCTTCCTCTTCAAAATATACTCACGAGCAGAACTGCATGAGAATAACCAGGCTCAGCAAATGTTTTACAAAATAAAGTTCTATTTTGAAATACTTTTCTTAATAAGCAATGTCTTAGCAACAGTACTTACCAGATATTATAAACAAATATAAGGATATTATATAAGTAAATATAAACCTACAGTTAAATTAACCAAATACAGATTATTTTGCTCCATATATAAATTGACCTCCAAAAGATGGTTACTGTAGTTAACTACTTTATATGGGAAGATACTTAATGTTTCTGATAACATAACAGAAATTTCCTAGGATTAAAAAAAATCAGGTAATAGGAAAACACGGTTTTGAAATTAACAACTATAAAAAAATATTTTGAATTCTATGTATCTGAAGATCCACATGCCAGGAAATAAAACATGCCCATACCGCGGCTCAGAGGCTGTAAATGTATAGCATCTCTTCCGATAACTCTCAAGTCTCTAAGGTGAGTACTGTAGATTTAACACTTGTTTTTCATACTCTAAAACCCATAGAAAGCTATTTACCATTCTCACAGCACAACCATACTCCACAGAGTGGGGAGAGAAAAAGTTACTGTGGGTTACGTCTCTTCAGTCTTCTTTACTATCTTTAGAGACAAAGCTAAGCAACAGTTTGGTATTTCTGTCCAGCGTGGGAGAGCACACACACTTTATCCACAAGCTAGCTGTGTCCTCACACCTACTAATCAAAGACTCTGTGTCTTTGTCATCTCGAAGGCACTTTTTTAAAAATGAAAGGTTAACTCTCCCATATTGAAACTGCCATTTTATTCCTTAAAAACAAGTGTGAGGCTTTCTTTGCCTCATGCTTTGGTCTATAGTTAAAAAACCCTTTGTAATTATGAAACCTTTAAACATTGAAGCAGTACATTAAATCCAACAAGAATTTAGCAAGAAATAGTTTATGCACTTCTATTTATAAATGAATAATGCTGTTTTTAAGAAAATGCAACAAAATAACTTAGGATTATTTAAAATGCAGAGATATACTACAGCAGGCATTAGTTTCTGACTTCAGAAATTTTTTTTTTCCAAGACAGGGTTTCTCCGTGTAGTTTTGGAGCCTGTCCTGGAGCTCGCTCTATAGACCAGGCTGGCCTTGGACTCAGAGATCTGCCTGCCTCTGCCTCCCGAGTGCTGGGATTAGAGGCGTTCGCCACCACTGCTCGGCCTAACTTTAGAAATTTAATAGTGGGATAGTAACTTACAAATTTGTATTCTGATTCAGGAGGTGTTAATCCCATAGATGTGAAGAGAAAGGCCACCAAACCAATATGGCTAAATTAATTTTAAAAAGCTTTATTCATACACACAGGCTAAGGTGGGGTTCAAGAGATCAGCATTGAGTGTGGGAAAGACAAGTTTTTTATAGCTCAGGAGTAGGGAGTTTCCAAAAAGGGGATTTGGCAGGCAAATAAGTGGGGGTCACAGAAGCTGAGCATAACAAGGTCATAAAACTTTTATTTCAGAAGGTTTAGAGAGTTGCCATTTCCTGGAACAGGCAGTACAGACCACGTGCAGTTAAAATTACATGTAGGGCAGAGGCCAATCCTTGAAAAACAGATTTAATCACAGAGAGCAATGAACCAAGTTTGCCCTTACTGTAAAATGGCTTTCAAGCCTAAGATAAAGGCAGGCTGGTTTATCAGAGGCAGAAAGATTTCTGTGAATTAGAGGCCGGCCTGGTCTACATAGCAAGTTCCAGAATAGCCAGGATTACTTTGAGAGACTCTGTCTCAAAAAACAAAAACAAAACAACAACAAAAATACATTCTGAAAATTCTGAGTCTTATAACCTTGGGGTTTTAAAAAGGTTGTATATATTCATTCAACGTTATAACTAACTTTTAAAAACCAAGCATTTAATTGTAACTTGTTAGTAAATGATGCTACCAGACTCCAGCTAATCTTCCCATTTATGCTCCTCTTAAATATCTGATTAGATGAAGAACTACATAGGTCTTACATTGTCCTCTGATCTACAAATGTAGATAAGAGTTAAGGACATCTGAGGTCAATTTCAGCACATAAACTGTCCTTGTATTTTCCAATGTCAACTTACACAATACAATACAACTTACACTACAGTAGACTAGATGGCTTCAAGTCGTAGAAATTTCTATTCTAAAAGGTGAGAGAGTTGAGGATGCTGGAAGCCCAAGACCACAGCAGAAATGAGAATGAGCGCTCTTGCACACACAGCAGACGAAGCCGCTCTGCTGGGCCCCTTCTTCTAAGGGGCCTCATTCCATCAGATCAGGTTGCACGTTCCGACCTGGTCACCCTCAAAGGCCTTCCTCCTAACTGCATTACACTCAGGGTTGAGCAACACACAACTCAGTCTACATTGCACACCTGCCCAGCCCACAACGTAGGCTCTTCTTGAAAGATGAAAACCAGCCCAAGACTGTTCCGCGGTAGAGAAGGTTTATTGTAGTTACGAGGGAATAAACAGCCAGAGGTATCTGGAATGGTCTATGGAGGATGGGGAAGTGGAAGAGTGAGAGAGGAAGAGAGAAGAGAGGAGGAGGCCAAGAGGGGAACCAGGAGCCAGGAGCCAAGAGCCGAGAGAACCACGAGGGCGTGTAGCCAAGGTGGCTGACTTACACAGGGAGGAGAGGCCGGGTGAAGGGCGGTGCAGCTCAGGGGCCGGGGAGGGTTAGGGTAGGAAGCAGGGTATGCCAGCCAGGACTCTGTAACAGGTCTGCAGCCAGTGTCTGCTCAGATTTGTTAGAGAGGCACCCCAGTGAGCCATTTGTCCTGAGTTTCTTTAAGACCTCACACTTCTCACAGACAAAAATACATTTGTGTCCCAGTGGTTCCCAAAGTCTTAATTTTTTTCCAGCATTAATTCTAAAACCTCATCTAGGTATTACCCAAATGACCACCCCAAATGTGCCTATTCTTATCTATGTACCACCTACATTTAGCTATGGGTGATGCTCAAGGTACAATCCATCCATTCTATTCCAATTGTGAACCTGAAGAATTAGGTTGAGGACTTTCCACAGTGGACGGTGAGACAGGCTAGGACAAACACTCTCAATAGCAAACAGTGAAAGGGAAAAAGAATGGGTGAAGCTCTCTTTTACTTTATTATCACGTTTCCATCCCTTTAACTCAAACTGGCCGCTTCTGGGGATACAATCTGTACTGACTGACGAAGAGACGCTGCAGCCTCACCCTAGTGTTCGCATCAGAATCTGTTATAAAACAGATTGGGAATTTTCCAGATTTCAAGTTCTAGTTCTTTTTTCCTGATTAACATTTTCTTTACCTCTTTCCTTTTGCATTTTAAGGTAAGCAGTCAGGATGAATATTGTTTCTTCTCAGATTTGTTCCAAAACTTCCTTTCTCAGATACCCTATACTATATCACTTAAAAGTTTTGCCTTCCATGAAACACAGGCCAAGTTCTTTGCCAATTTATAAAAAAGGATTACTTTTCTCCTGGTTTCCAAGAATATGCACTCCATTTCCATTTACAACCCCATCAGAATTAGCCTTAATGTTTCAATTTCTAGCCTGCATACCCCAAATCTCCCAGCTTTTACCAACTGCTCAGTTAAGTAAGCTCCATTTTCTATTTAGGTATTTGTTATAACAACCGTCCACTACCTTTGTCTGCTTGGGCAGCTACAACAAAACATCACAGACTGGGTAACCTAGGCGACAGAAATGTGTTTTCTCATAAGAGCTGGAAGTCCAAAATCAGGGTGCCAGAGTGGCGTGGTGTGGTGAGGGCTCCTCTCCTGGCTTACTGATAGTTACTGCTGTCTCCCACAAGTCCTGCCATGTATCTTTCAAAGGTACCAGTTCTACCAGACCAAAGCCCACGTTCATGACATCATCGTCTTTCAAAGGCTCCATCACGAAATGACACCACACAGTTTAAGGCTTTAGTAAACGAATTGCTTTCACACACAAATACTTGCTCCATCACATGTCTGTACATTTCTACCTGTCCACTAAGCTGGTAGAGAAAGCTTTGATCTACAGAAACAGAAACTGGACTCAGAAAAGACAAACAAAAAGGTATCAAGCAATTTTGTAAACTGTCTGCTTCAAAATAGTTTCCATTTTCCTTCTAGAACTAATTTAAAAACCACCATTCTGTCTACATTTTGGTGTTATTACAGAGATTATAAGTTTTCTATTCATTAAATTTGCTCTTTATATAAAGTTTCTCTTCTTTCTCAGGTTATCACATTTAAAAAAATAATAATAATCATCTTGATTTAAAGTGAAACACAGGACTCAATCAAAAAACGATGTATCTTTCGATACAGAATTTCTCTGTGTAGTCTGGGCTGTCCTAGATCTGTAGACCAGCCTGGATCGGAACTTCGAACTCCATCTGCCTCTGCCTCAAGAGCTGGGATTAAAGGCATGCACCACCACCACCCAGCAAAATTATGTATCTTAAAAAGTATTGTTGTTATGTTTTGATTCTTCATTAAGATTTAGCTACTTCTTTATAATATGAAAATTTTATAGAGATCATTCCTAAAAGATTAATCATCAAAATAACCTAAGTATCCCAATGGTTTGGTCTGACTTTTTAATTCACTGATGCATCACTTGTAAACACTAAGAAAAGTTCTCTTGCCAGGTACACTTAGAAACAAAGCAAGTTATTAAGTATTCTCTAAGTTTTTACCTGTGTGCAAGGTCCACAGAAACAAAGAAAAAAATATACAGTGGTCGCAGGAGCGGAGTGATTTCGTAGGTATCCTGGGTCTGAAATGTGGCAGTCTCTGTGGCGGTGTTTACAATTAGTGAATATTCTGCTATGCAAAGGGTTAGCCACCCAAAGACAAAAAGAGCAGCAGTTGCCCCGGGGCTGCCATACAGCAAGGTAATTCTGTTTGGGAGCAGATACCATGTTCCAAGACTACACACCAACCCGGCAAGAACAGAATGGAAAACTGTATTGGCCACGTATTTTTTGCCAGGAATCAGAAATCTGACAGTCTCAGCACCAGCACAACTTGTAAACTCGTGCTCATCTTCCTCTGCTAAGATGTTCCGGGCTGTCATCCTTTTGACCACCACAGACTTGCTCTTGGCGTGCGCACTGGTTAACTGGATGACAGCCGCCGTGATCACCATCAGTCCTCCTGAGAGAGCGGCCGCCGAGTAGTCTCTCAGGATGTCCAGCTGATATAGAAGCGTTCCTGTTCCACCTAAGGCCCATGGCATCAGGAAAAGGACAATCTGATTAACGTATATGTAAGGAGGGGCACAATAGCCTAATTTGAGTCGAGGGCCTCCAAGAACAGTCTGTGGAAAGCGCTTCAGCAGGAAGTCCTGTTTGTAATCATTTAGCAGAGGGACATCTGGACTCATACTTCCCATTCAGGACTGGTCTATAAGTCACATCTTTTTCATAACCAGCAGTATCTGTGAAAAAGAAAAAACAAATCACCATTCAAAAATACGACACTGAAGACCTGGAGGAAACACAGTCCATATTTCTACTTGACTTCCTTAGTCCCTTTACAGGCAGGATTTCTAACCTTGGTTCCTACTCAACCTTCACAATATAATTGGTACTAAGTTTGTCCTCTTCCCAAAATAATCATGCTAACTGACTTGCTTTTTTGGTTTTTCGAGACATGGTTTCTCTGTGTAGCTTTGTGCCTGTCCCGGATCTCGCTCTGTAGACCAGGCTGGCTTCAAACTCACAAAGTTCTGCCTGGCTCTGCCTCCTGAGTGCTGGGATTAAAGGCATGTGCCACTACCTGCCCGGTGCTAACTGATTTTCTTAAGAAATCAAATTCTTGGGCTGCAGGATGGCCAGCACTTGGGAGGCAGAGGCAGGTAAATCTCTGAGTTCAAGACCAGCCTGGTCTACACAGCGAGTTCCAGGACAGCCAGGGTTACAGAGAGAAACCCTGTCTTGTGGGGGGAAGAAATATTCTTTATTAATGTACCTAGCATATCATTGTTGACATTAGATTGAACTCACAGCTTAGATTCCAAGGCCAAAGGAAAGTACTCTCTACTCAGACTTGCTGGCAGTCCTACTATTTCCCAGTGAGCTCTTCTGTTAGTCTTCTCCTTCTGTTACAGGGTCAGCGAACTGTCTCTAAATGGCCAGACAGTAAATACTGTCAGCTTGTTGAGTTCTGTTATAACAATCCTATCATGTTGCTATACCATAAAAGCATCCACAGACAATACAATATATAAAGTAATGTGAGTGGTTTTATTTTATAAAATGCACAGTATTTATCCAAATAGGCTACGTATAGGCTGTCAATCACTACTGTCTAAATAATGATATTTCTCTGTTATTCTCTGGGAAACAAAGTAGAAAATACAACAACTAAATGTTCTGTATATCACTTAACAATTATAATAAGTTTAGGATTTTCAAATATTTTAAAAAGTCAAATCTTATTACATAAAATCAGTAGCATTTCAATAAAAACCTATCTAGAAACTGGGAGCTCAAATGTAGATGGGAGGCAGGCCTTTAATCCCAGGATTCAGGAGGCAGGGGCAGGGGCAGGTGGATCTCTGAGTTCAAGGCCAATGCGATCATCCAGGGCTAGTCGTGAGAACTTGTCTCAGCATCATTTTCATCACCAACAACTACAACCCATAAGATAAAGTAGAAGAAAAAACTATGATGAAAAAGAAGTCAAAATAGATGCTGATTTTTAACAGCTATATTATCACAGGCAAGCTACTTCGTAATTCAAGTTTTAGTCTTTCTAGTGCCAGTTTCTAGAATATGCCAGAAATAACCTGTGCATCCTTTATATCCTTAAGTGTAGGTTATTTCTATTCAGAGATCATAAAACAAGAGTCTTAAGTATCAAGTACAGTGGATTCTATTTACTTTTCCACAATACCTTATTCAGAAAGTAAAACAAAAATAAAAATCAAACAACAACAAAACCTGTTGCCTGATACAAGATTAGCTGGAAAAATATTACCACAGTGGATCATCTGTTAGTTTAGAAAACTTAAATACCTTAAAATAGCCCTTTGAACTAGTCTGGCTAATCTGTGGCAGGCAATACCTGTTTGCTACACAGTTAAGATGCTCTTTAAACTGCAAATATCTGTGTTCCTACACCTTCAGTCAACTGTCCTTAGTTCTGCATAGAACTATGTGCAGCTTTTACTTAAGTAGCAGCCTGGTACATTCACAAGATAACAGAGCAGGAAAGATACTGCAGTGGTTTGAATGAAAATGTCCCCATAGGCCCATAGGGAGTAGCACTATTAGAAGGAATGGCCTTGTTGGAGTAGATGTGGCCTTATTGGAGGAAGTATGTCAACGGGGATGGGCTTTGAGGTTTCAGATGCTCAAGCCAAACCAGTGTCACTCTCTCTTCCTGTTGCCTGCTGATCCGGTACATAACTTTCAGTTCCTCTCCAGCACCATGTCTGCCTGTATGCCGCTATGCTTCCCACCATGATGATAATGGATTAAACTTCTGAACCTGTAAGCCAGCCCCAATTAAATGTTTTCCTTTATAAGAACTACTGTGGTCATTATGTCTCTTCACAGCCAATAGAAACCTTAACTAAGACTGAAATCAGGGACTAGGGTATTGCTGTAATAGGCCTGACCATGTTTCTGCCTGGAGGAATATGGAACACTATAGCATGAATTCTAATTGGTCTTAATTAAAAACCCAGAGTCAGATATCAGGATGAAAGCTGAAAGATCAGAGAAGCAGAGCAGCCAGCTGCTAGAGTTCTTACTTTACGAAATCCTCAGCCTGAAAGGACTCCAAGTTCCTGTCTCTTCCTACCGTATAATCCTTTCTCTGCACAGCCATATCACTTCCTGTCTCAACCTCCCAAGTGCTGGGATCAAAGGTGTGAGCCACTACTGCCTGCTCTTTCTCTCTTAGACTAGATCAATCTTGTGTAGCCCAGGGTGGCCTTGAACTCACAGAGATCCGTCTGCCTCTGCCTCCTAAGTGCTGGGATTAAAAGTGTGTGCCACCACTGCCTGGACTCTATGGCTGACTAGTGACTTAGCTCGCACTCTGATCTTCAGGCAAGCTTTATTTGTTAGATCACACAAAAAACATCACCACAGAACACTTTGCGACTTTCGACTAGAAAAGTGATTGGACATTTTAAGTGAGATTTAATGGGACTTACTAGTAGGAGCATGGAAGACAGTAGCAGTGAATATGATTTGAACTGTGGGGGCCTGGTCAAGAGATTTCAGAGGAGAAGAATATTAATATGTGGTCTAGAGATTGTTCTGGTTATATTTTGGCTGCTTTCTGCCCTTGTCCAAAAAAATCTGCCTGAGGCTAAATTGAAAAGTTATGGATGAACAGCTTTGGCAGAGGCGACTTGCAGACAGCCTAGTATTGACTGTTGCTTGGTTCTTAGCGGCCACGCTTATGCAGATCTACAATGAAAAGGAGCAAGCTGAGCAAGGAAGCAAACAAGCAATCTGAGGAGAAAAGGAGCACCAGGAAGTGTAAACAGGTCAAAGAAAACCTGATTCTGAGTGGAATAAAGGGAGTGGTGACCTCTGAGCAAGACCCCACCCAGCTAAGTTTTCAATTTGTGAAAAGGAATTAAAGGAAAGCTTAGGGCTGGGCATGGTGGTGCACACCTTTAATCCCAGCACTCAAAGGCAAAGGCTGGTGGATCTCTGAGTTTGAGACCAGCCTGGTCCAACAGAGCGAGTTTCAGGACAGCCAAGCTTAGGCAGTGAAGGAAACCAGTGAAAAGAGAAAGCTGGTGAAAATGTATTTGAATAAGGGGAACATGGTCCAGCCCCAGTAAGCAGATTTTGGCAAATTCAGCCACGTTGTTCTGGCTTTAGAATCAAGGATACAAGAAATGGGGTAAGGCCAGGCATGTGTCAGGGGTGTCCCTGCATGGAGGCCCAGAGAAGCCATTGCATGAAGCTGTGAAGGTGAAGCCTGGATTGCCTTGGAGACCCCAAGATGTTGGCGATGCCACTAGAGTTGTGGGATAGCTGTCAAGGAAAGCTGCTAATGGAGTGGAACCAGCCCATGAGAAAGAAGGGTGCTGCAGTCAACAAGGCTGAAAGGAGCGGGAGATCTGAGGAGCATGTCGACTTCAGATACGGAGATGTAGAGTTTGGAGTTTGCCCAGCTGGTTTCTGGTCTTGTTTTAGTCCAGTATTTCCTCATTATGTTCCCTTTCCTCCCTTTTGTAATGGTAATGCATATCCTGTGCCATTATATGTTGGACGTATGTGATCTGCTTTTTCATTTTGACTTTACTGGGGATTATAGTTAAAAGACTGCGTGAGTCTCAGAGGCTTTGAACTTGGGATTTTTAAACAGTCCTGATACTGTGATAGACTATGGGGATTTTTGAAGTTGGACTATGATATGGCTGTGGGGGCCAGAGTAGAATGTGGTGGTTTGAATGAAAATGGCCCCCAGAGGCCCACAGGGAATGGCACTATTAGGAGGTGTAGCCTTGTTGAAGGTGGTGTGTCACTGGGAGTGGGCTTTGAAGTTTCAGATAGCCAAGCCAGGCTCAGTGGCACTCTCTCTTCCTGCTGCCTGCCACAATACTCAGTTCCTCTCAAACACCATGTCTGCCCGCAAGCGGTCATGCTACCCACCATGATGATAATGGACTAAACCTCTGAACGGTAAGTGAGCCACCCCAATGAAATGTTTTCCTTTATGAGAGTGTGATCACGGCATCTATTCACAGCAACAGAACACTGACTAAGACAGGGATTTTAATACTCGAAGGTTCTTTTTGCACCTTTCCCTCTGTAAAACCTTATCTGCCTCAGTGATGTGAAGCTTGCTGGTCTGAAATAGTCTCCGAGTGTCACAGGGTCAGAAGGCCACACTCCTGCAGACAGGGGTAAACATGCCAGTATGAGTTATCTATGGTAGATGCCACTGGTCAAGACAATGAGCTTCACTGGATGGTCAGGATTTTAAAGTCTGAAGTACCTAAGTTTTTTCCATGGAGTTAAGAAAACTCTCCTCTTGCTCCATGAGAGAAGTCAGAAAACAAAATAAGAGAAAGGGAGACAGAAAAGTGACACCATATAAAGCTGATTATTTATGGTACTAACCACATTCATTTTCCTTCTAGAAGTTCTGAACCTTTTAGAATACTAGATTGTCGATAGAGAAACATGGAAAGACACTTATGAAATGCCAAAGAATAAAATTAATAAATTGTTGATGGCATCTGTATTAAAAGTATACATACTTGTGTATTAGAAGACTGGATATATATTGCATATGTGTTAAAAGGTTGGTAAGGATACTATTTTTTATAACAGTTGGTAGTTCTTCAAATTACTAAATGTCCTCCAAGCTCTCAATGCCACGTCCTGGGAACACATCCTGTGCGTTTCCTCCTAGATGCCTCTTCTCACACCCTTTGCCTACGATCTTCTCTTTCCCTTTCTCTAGTCAGTAATTTTAGTCAACTTTCATGACTCAGTATAATCATTTCTAAACTCCTGGTAAGCACTCTGGCTGAACTGTGTCTCCCTTCTCTCTGCACCTAAAACAGCTGGTTCTACACCACTCCGAACATCCACCAGCTCGGAGTAGGCTCTCACACTGTTCAGCTTTTCACGCATTATCTGCACATATGTATTTCTCTTCTTTACTTGTTATCTGTGGCGAGGGGCCCAATCTGGAGATTCATTTGATTCCTCAAACTCAACAGAACACCTCGGTATACAGAAGCATGCAGTATGTTAATGGAATAGCTTAAGTAAGATGGGTCAAGTTGAAAACCAAGATGCCTTCCTATTTTAAGGGAGGAATTCAGAGTCACCATTTTTTGAGCTTTCTCACATTGTATTTTGTTCCAATCAAAATATTAAATCCATAAACTGCTTGTTCCCTGTTTTGGAAGATGGAAGGCATCTCCACTTATCTTTATTATGGAATAATAAATAAGTTATGGTTGTTATTGACAATATTTTTGGCTCAGGGAAGACTCTGCCTAGGAAGGTTATCCCAAAATAACAAAGGAACAGGATTGGATGTGATGGGGATTACACAGCTAGTTTTCTCTTGTGGGCAAGGAAGTGTCAGGAGTAATATGCTAGAAAGAAATCCAATTTGAATTCCTTCCTTGTACTATATTATAGTTTAATCTCCTCACCAGGGTCAGTGCAGACTTCACACTGAGAAACCAGTAAAGGAGAAATGTCATGCAGATGGACACAAAGAAACATTATGAAATCTGATAGGCAGAATGTCAGACATAATGCTGATTGAAATCATACATATTTTTAAATAATATTGTGAATATTTTTAAAACTGCTATTTCCTAACAATTCACTAATGATCACTATGGCAGAAAGGATATAATAAGCAGGTCCATTAACTTCTAATTTTCATTCTAGACCATAGAAGCTTAAAAAGATTTAAGAATTTAAAATATATTTTGAGGTACCACAATTACATTTATGTGGAGAAATATTCTAAATGCTAACCTGGATTATTCATAAATATAATCAGAACAACTAAACTCATTCCCTAAAAACCCAGCATATGCTTCTGAAGGACTGTTGGTCCCTGGAAGGACAGATGACATTTATATGGTCTCCACCTCTAGCACGCTCAAACGAAAATAGCTCCAGCCTGAGGAAATAAAAGCCGTGATGAAGACCGCACCACAACACTGAGTTGGGCCATATGCTCTCCTCATATGCTACTCTGAAACTGAGCCAACCAAACAGACTCTGAGAGGATGCTGTATTTGGAATCTGAGTCACAAAATTCCCACAGGGGTAAGAAATGGTACAAACTGGCAATCTGCTGGGAGGAAACTCTTAGTTACCAAAACTACAGCTCATCAATCATATGATAGTGACAAAAATCCCCTGAAACAGAGAAAACACAACAAAAAGTAGTAGTTTAAATAGATGTATGTGCACATCTATATACATTTCTCTAAGGCCAGAAGAAAGAAATCCCTAAATTTCACTTTTGGCAAATGTCTGGATTTTATTTAGGTTTATTTTTTTTAATGTGTCATATTATTATTCTATGAATACAACATACTCATCCATGCTCCTACAATATATTTTACAAAATTTGAAAAATAAGCCGGGCGGTGGTGGCGCACGCCTTTAATCCCAGCACTCGGGAGGCAGAGCCAGGCGGATCTCTGTGAGTTCGAGGCCAGCCTGGGCTACCAAGTGAGTCCCAGGAAAGGCACAAAGCTACACAGAGAAACCCTGTCTCGAAAAACCAAAAAAAAAAAAAAAAAAAAAAAAAAAAAAAAAAAAAAAAGAAAAATATACAAAAGTTTTACTTTTTCTTTCTTTTTTTAAAAATTATTTTGTTTTTTCTATTATCAGCTTGATACAGTACAAATTCTTATCCTAATAGTGAAATGTTTGACTGAAGCTTGCCCAATGATTGAGTAAAACCAAAACTTATTATAAGCCACAGTCATCCTAGGGTCCCCCCTGCTAGGTAGCCTCCCTGGTTCTGTGGGTTGCAGTCTGATTGTTCTTTGCTTTATAGCTAGTATCCACTTATGAGTGAGTACATACCATGTTTGTCCTTCTGGGTTTGGATTACCTCACTCAGGATGATATTTTCTAGTTCCATCCATTTGCCTGCAAATTTCATGCTGTCATTGTTTTTCTCTGCTGACATTAATCCACACACATATGAACACCTGATTTTTGACAAAGAAGCCACAACTATACAATGGAAAAGAGAAAGTATCTTCAACAAATGGTTCTGGCATAACTGGATGTCAACATGTAGAAGATTACAAATAGATCCATATCTGTCACCGTGCACAAAACTCAAGTCCAAGTGGATCAAAGACCTCAACATAAATCCAGTTACACTGAACTTGATAAAAGATAAAGTAGGAAGTACTCTTGAACGCATTGGCACAGGAGACCACTTCCTAAATATAACACCAGCAGCACAGATACTGAAAACAACAATTAATAAATGGGACCTCTTGAAACTGAGAAGCTTTTGTAGGGCAAAGGACATGGTCAATAAGACAAAACGACAGCCTACAGAATGGGAAAAGACCTTCGCCAACCCCACATCTGACAGAGGACTGATCTCCACAGTATATAAAGAACTCAAGAAACTAGACAGCAAAATACTGAACAATCCAATTAAAAAATGGGCTAAGGAGCTAAACAGAGAATTCTCAAAAGAAGAATCTCAAATGGCTGAAAGACATTTAAGGACATGCTCAACATCCTTAGTCATCAGAGAAATGCAAATCAAAACGACACTGAGATACCACCTTACACCTGTCAGAATGGCTAGGATCAAAAACACTAATGACAGTCTATGTTGGAGAGGATGAGAAGCAAAGGGAACACTCCTCCACTGTTGGTGGGAGTGCAAACTTGTACAACCACTGTGGAAATCAGTATGGCAGTTTCTCAGAAAATTGGGAATCGATCTACCTCAAGACCCAGCCATACCACTCTTGGGCATATACCCAAGGAATGCTCAATCACACCACAAAGATATATGCTCAACTATGTTCATAGCAGCATTATTCGTAATAGCCAGAACCTGGAAACAACCTAGATGCCCATCAACTGAAGAATGGATTAAGAAAATGTGGTACATCTATACAAAAGTTTTACTTTTTCAAGTATCACTGCACTTAACTGATTTTCAAAACAAATACTTTATGACCAGTACAGAAATAAAATGGTCCATACCACTGTACTCAAAAACTATGAAAACTCAATTCTCCGTTTCTTAGATAAAAGTCACTTGTTACCACTACAACAGTTCCAGAAGTATACAGATGTGGAGAGTCAGTTTGTTTTGGAGATAGTTAAGTGTAAACTGCTGAATGCACCAGCTGGAATCCAGAGATACAATGCCAGCTGCCATTCTAATTCTGTACATACTCTAGGGATCTTAACTGAATGCCACATCATGAACAAACAGCACATTCTTGAAGAGCCTTTAAAAGACATTTGATGCGGAAGTATAACACACACACATATATTGCATGCTGTGGCCCACAGAGCACATGTGGCTTCCTCCTCCATCCACCACAGAAAGAAAATTGGTTGGAGCACCTGCAGAGTAATCATATCTCCTTGAATCTATAAAACGACATTTATTAAGACTTTAGTAAGGTCTTTGAAGAGGTGGGCTTTTTCCCCCAGTAAATCCATAGGTGTGGTCTGTAAAAATAACTGTAAACCAAGTAGCATAGACCTCTAATTTCTGTTACTCAGGAGGCTAATGCATGAAGATCTCAGGTTCAAGGCCAGCCTGGGTAATATTGAAAGCTTGTTTCAAATTTCTGAAAAGTAAAAAAGAGGTCTGGGAACAGGGCTCAGTTGCAGAGCACTTACTAAGCATGTAGGAAGCCTTAGGTTTAACCCTGAGTACTCCATCCCCTCCCTCAAGGGAGAAAGAAAACCTTTTTATGGTTAGAGAGGGAGACCAGACAGTTCAAATCGGCAATGCCTCACAAGCAGTACAATGAGTTATCCGTTCTGTTTCACTTTTCCCAATGTACAACACCAGAATACAAATTAACAGCTGTCTTGGTTAGGGTTGCTATTGCGGGGATGAAACATGACCAAAGCAATCTGGGGAGGAAAGGGTTTATTTGGTTTATACCTCTATATCACTGTTTATCATGGAAGGAACTCAGGTCAGGAACTCAAACAGGCAGGAACCTGGAGGCAGGAACTGATGCAGAGTTGTGCCTGTAACAGGGATGCAGACATCAGCAGGCCCCCAGACCTTAGCACAACTGACTCCATGATGAAAGGACCATTCAGGCTGTAAAACTCAGAAGGTGGACAGCACCACCTGCCAAAACTAAAACAAAGGCCTGATCCATCAAAGTCCATAGTTCTGGGAAAGTCTCCAAACGTAAAGCAAGGTTAGTACCTTGCTTTTTGGCTTCTGTAGTTCTGCTTTTGGCTAACTCTTCTAGTTAACTGAAGTACGTCAACTCAGGACATGGATTTTGTACTTAAAAGCTCACCCTGAGAAAGGTTGTAGTTACCGGCTGGCTATTGGCTTAAACCCATGTCCAAACAGTCTTCTCTGGTGGATATCCCCCAACAGGCCTCCCCTCATTCAATCACTTGAGTTGGACAAAAAGCTCTCCAGGTCTGTCCAGAGCCCAGCCTTACAGAGGCATTTGGGGTTCCCTCCTCTCTGATGACTCTAGCCCGTGTCATGTGGACATAAAATGAAGCCAGCATCTACTACTCACGGAAACTAAAAATGGAAAGAAATGGCTAAAGATTCTGACCACCCTCTCATTTCTCACTACCTCGAATAAATTCAGTTGGTTTGACAATGTTTTCTTTCATAATAAGGTATCATCAGAGTCAAGCCTGACACTCATATAAATCACTAGAAATAACTGTACTAAAAAGCGAGAACCGGTGGTGGTGCACGCCTTTAATCCCAGCACTCGGGAGGCAGAGCCAGGCGGATCTCTGTGAGTTCGAGGCCAGCCTGGTCTCCAAAGCGAGTTCCAGGAAAGGCCCAAAGCTACACAGAGAAACCCTGTCTCGAAAAACAAAACAAAACAAAACAAAACAAAACAAAACAAAAACAAACAAACAAAAAAAGCAAGAACCAACAATATCGACAAGTAAGATACAAAGTGGCAAAGAAGGCTTTTGAACCATACCAATTTATTGTCAAACAAAAGTGAAGTTTTATACCAAGTGTAAAAATGTAAAATCTGATACCTAAGCTAGCATGAAAGAGTTTTCAAGAGTCCTCACCAGCAGGGAAGTGAAACATTCTACACAACAGTACAAGGCTGTATTTAGAGATTTGTATTAGAATACATAATGAATTCTCCCACTTCAATGATGAAAGTACAACTTGGGTTTTAAAAGATGAACTAAGGATAAGAACTGACAATGTCCGGGTGATGGGCCAGAGGAACTAAGGATAAGAACTGACAATGTCCGGGTGATGGGCCAGAGGAACTAAGGATAAGAACTGACAATTTCCGGGTGATGGGCCAGAGGAACTAAGGATGAAGGAAATGGAAACCAAACCGACCACGAGATACTTTCAGCTCCCTTGACTGGCTAAAATAAAAATGAAAGACAAAAACAAGTACTGATGAGGTTAATTTAAAACCTTCAAACACGTCTGGTGGGGATGTAAAGGGGTGTAATGCCTTGGGAAAATCTGGCAGTTTCTCAACAGTCTAAACAAGAGAATGAGCATATGACCCACTAGTCCATTACCAGGTATTAAATTCAAGAGAAATGAAAACATGTCTACACAAAAATCTGTACAAAATGTCCACAGCATATTATTACTGTCAAAAAAGGGGAAAAACTCAATGTCTATCAATGACTAAATGGATAAATAAAGCACATCTGCATAACAGACTTTTATAAAGTAACAAACAATAATGAAGCTCTGACATGGGTGAGCTTGAGCACATTCCTCTAAGGTGAAAGAAGCTAGATGCATGCATTCAAATTGCGTATTTTAAGGTTCTGTAGAATAAATCTGGAGAGACAAAAAATAGATTAGTGGTTGCCTAGAACTGTTGTGGGCAGGAATATTGGGGAAAGGTGAGAAAAATAGCTAAAAACATACAGGTTTTTTGGGAGGTAATCAAATTGTTCCAAAATTGACTGTAGTGATAGTTGTGCAATTCTGTCCATATACTTGAAACCAATGAACTGTACACTTGCAGATAAGAGTTGTATCTTGGGCTGGAGAGATGACTCAGAGGTTAAGAGCACTGCCTGCTCTTCCAGAGGTCCTGAGTTCAATTCCCAGCACCCACATGGTGGCTCACAACCATCTGTAGTGAGATCTGGTGCCCTCTTCTGTATACATAATAAATAAATAAATCTTAAAAAAAAAAGAGTTGTATCTCAAGAAAGCTCCTATAGAGGAACACGAAAAGGTTCCCTGCCCAACATTTCCACAGCAGTTAATAACCAACAGGCATCTCTTTAGGTAGGAAAGGTAAAACTTGTAGACAGCATGGGCCCCAAACTGTTAAATTGGTAAAATGGCAATATCTGAACTGGATGCTGTGAGAAATGATGGGTGAATGGGCAAGATGGAAGCTGACAGAAATATGAATGTTCTTTCTAAATGCAGGAACTTAATGAAACAAAACAACAGCGAAAAAATGAGTAATGAGAGGCACAGAGTAGATAATTCGGAGGCCTAAAAAAAACCAAACGGGAATGGAATGCACCTAAATAAATAAATTCTTTGACATGCAAAAGATTACATGGAGACAGAAAACCTGGGAAGCGAGCTATGTGTATCCAGGCAGCCAAGAATGAACATATTTGGGGGAGGAGAGCTTGAGATGGAGAAAACCAAGAAATAGGGAACTCCACCTAAGGGGCATAGACCTTGAACTTGACTAGGGTAACATGCTCATCCCTCATCAGGGCCAAAGAGCCGCTCTCCAATTCACAAAGGCCTCTCGGAAAGAAAACGCGACTCCACGGGCTGCAAAACACTCTCAGTCAAGTTAAAAGCCACACTGGATCACTACCTCCATCAGTTCAGTTCACCCTGTACGTTAGAAAGAGAAATCATTGCATTTAAAAGCTTTCTAACGGAGAACGGAAGACGTTTGTTGTTGGTTAATAAAAGCCGAAAGAAGCGGGTAGTAAGTACCCAGGCGTGGAAACTAAGGCAGCAACGAAGTCCGGGTGTTTCTGGGACGGACATTACCTGGAGTCATCCGAGGGCAAAGGCGACGCGAGGGCGTCCCGGGACCACATCGCCCCTGGGGAGGTCGGTTGGGAGCTCCCGCCCCACGATGGATGCGGCGACGCCAGCAGCGGACCCAGGGCCTCCAGGACCGCTCGCGTTTCCATGGCTAACATCAACTGCGCTCGCGCCTCCCAGGGGGCAGTGCGCACGCGCGCTCGGAGGCGGGGCTGCGCGTCTCGCCCCGCCCCCGTCGCCATGACTCTGCCGGGTGGGCGTTGTTTCCTCCGGGCCGGGGCCGGGCGGGCTTCGAGCAGTGGGCTTCGCCGGGACCCAACTGACGCTCAGGATCCTTGATGACCCGCCTAAGCACCGCCTCTGAACTCTCACCCGGGCCCCGCCCAGACGCAAGCACGTGGTTGCCTTGGTGACCAGGCGTTCCTGCTCTGGGAGCCTCAAAGCTAATCCATTTTGGAAACCTAGGATCTCTAAGATTGGCAGACTTGCGTGTGATTCAAGAGTGTAATAGGAATCCAATCCGCTAGGGTCCTCCGTTAATGACCACAGAACTAAGGCCATCCAACAGCCTCAGGGTTCTGAATGCTTTTTAAATGGTACCACATGCCCTATTCTACTTAGATTTGAAACAAAATACCTTTGTTTTCTTGCACTAGATACCGTAGCCTTTTCCTATTTACAAAATGAAGGTTCATGACCACAGCAAGTCTTGGTTCCATTTTTCCAACTACATGTGCCTACTCTTGTTACATATTGGTAATTCTCAAAACACGTTAAAATTAATGTGTGTATTTGTAACGTACATGATCTCAACTCAAATGTTTTCAGTCTTTTGTTTGTTTGTTTTTTGAGACAGGGTTTCACTGTGTTGTGTAGCCCTGGCTGTCCTGGATCTCACTCTGTAGACCAGGCTAGCCTTGAACACAAGAGATTCTCCTGCCTCTGCCTCCTGAGTGCTGGAGTGCTGGGATTAAAAGTGTGTACCACTACTGTCCGGCTTGTTTTAACTCTTAATAGTATATTACTTTGGGGACGTTATAAATTATATCCATATAATATGAATGAACTTATCAGTGGCAATGGCCAGGGACCAGGAACACAGGTTGTACATAGCCACCTTAGCAACCCGAGCTGAATTTGCCACTGGAAAAAAAAATTCCAGGGTGGGCCTGTATGGAGCAGAGTTGAGAGTTTGCTGATGATTTTAACATAAAGTACAGGGGTTAATAGGTGTGCTCAATGACAGGGTAAGACACATGAAAGTGCGGGCACTTTTCTCTCTACATAGTCACATAGACAATTTTGGTGACATCTGAGGTTACATAGAAAGCTATGCTAAGGACTTGGAGTGATATCAGGAGGTTCCTGATGTCCATTGGATCCATTTACAGCTGATAAGGTAAAAGGGGTGTTTTGAAATATATGTTTATAGTCTTGTTTGTGAGAGTCCCAGAACTTTTCAGGTTTATATATATTTGGAAAAGAGTGAGGTCATAAATACTCAGGCCCTAAGCATGACTTGTAGATATTTAAACATTCTTATTTGAAATGCTTCTACATAAAAGGAGTATTGTCTCTCTGTAGGCAACCTTCACAGAAAATTTTAACTGCTGGGACTCTTTACTTGCTGGGCTCTCTCACCTCAACTGTCAAAACAACTCTTTCAAATTCTCAACACATATAAAAGTTTTACCTTATTATATTGTGGGTTATTAAGTGTTATATCTTAAAAGCATTATATCTTAAAAATCAATATGTATATCTTAATTACAAAACATTTCCTCAGGGGGGCTGTCGAGGTGGCTCAGCAGAATTCTTGACTCTCACCTAGTAGAACTTCAGCCAGACTCTGGAGTGAAAGACTTTTTTTTTTTTTTTATCTTATCGTGTCCCCTTATTTTTCCCTTCCTAGTTGTCTCAAATTGATAAACGTGTTTTGACAGTTCTACAGATTTGGTGATTTCATTTTTCTTCCACTTCTCCAGCTTCTCTATTTCTTGAGACAAAACAGTGTTGGATTTGAGCCAGTTGATAACTCTGGAATACTTACTCTCTAGGCGGCCAGCTGAAGGGGAGAGCTGGGGGAACTCTCACTTTAAATCAAAAGCTAGAATGACTAAGCGTGGTGAGTCAGGCCTGGCAAAAAGCCAAGACAGGCTGAAAGCTAGGCCTCCTGTGTGTGGGGGTTGCCCAAAACAGCTTGACCACACAGCTGCCATGACAGACTTAGAAGCTCAGACACAGCTTCTGGCAGGCAACACCTGGACCCAGGAAAAGCCATAAGCTGACCCTACCCAGGGAAGGCCTGCATCTAAGAGGAAATACCTGACATTCCAAATATTCCCTATATCCCTAGACAAATGTCAGCCAATCAGGGTCCTGAACCCTGGAAATCCCCTCACCCCAACCTCTGCTATGATTAAAAACCCCTCCCTGGGTTCTGGGCTCTCTGTTCTTAAGCGCTGTATTACACAGGGAGTCTGAGCTTGAAAACAAAGATTCTTTGCTTTTACATATGGGATTTGGTCTCCATGGCGGCATTTTGTGGGTCCCTATGATCTGGGTATAACATTTGGTGAGTCATCCAGGATCCCCCAAGCCCACTGGGACCACCGCCAGTAGAGCTTGAAGCTGGCCAGTATGTTTTCTGTGTGTCTGTGGTTTGTGTTTTTTTATGTTAACTTTCATTTGGATATCCTTTTGTAAATGGGCTTTTGGGATATCCTTTTGTAAGTGAGCCCAAAATTTGTCAGTCCCTGCAGAAGGTCCTTTGGATGTGTTTGGATCCCTTTGGTTGACTTGTATTTGAATTTGTTTTGTATAGACTGGGATGGCATGAAGCTGATGTCTGCCTTTTGGTTTTGTCTCTAGGTGCCAGGAGAGCTGTTTTGTTGCCTTATGTGCTGTAATTTTGGTGTTTTTTTTTTTTTTCTGACTTATGAAAACTGTAGATTCTTATTTTAGGATTTTTGAGTTGGTCAGCTGACACTGTTTCCCTGGGAAATTGTTTGCCTTTTTGTTGGAATGTCCTGCCTATATGAATGTGTTAATGTGTGAGAAATGTGGCCACGTATGTGTGTTTTCTGCCTGGGCTTATGCGTTGTGACTCCAGATAAGAAACTATACATGGACAGCCTTTGGGGCTGGATGGCCAGCAACAAGGACCGAGGATCCCTTTGGTTGAACTGGGACAGACTAAGAGTATTCCTCCCCCTCATTGCTTCCTTGCTCTCTGACCCAGAGCACACATAGCGGCGGGTGTGTGTGTGTGTGTGTGTGTGTGTGTGTGTGTGTGTGCAGGGGAAGGCGCTGTTGTGGTGCTACACACTGGGTGAGCAGCAGGGACTCTGGTCACAGCCAAGGAGTGGCCTATAGGGAGTGCCCCCCAGAGGGCCTGGCCGGGGCATGGAGTCCCTTCCAGTCTGCTCTCACGCACTTGAGAATCTGGGGTTAACAACAATATTTTGTCTCATGCTGTGTGCTGTCCCCTCCCATGCTGATGGGTGGGGCTCCCAAGACCTGCCCAGGGGACTGCCCACCAAACCTGACCAAAATTTGACTCCAACGATGGAATGGAATGTCACTGCCTATTGTTGCTAAGCTACGGTGGCTATGTTATAATGCCGTAGCCTGGGGTGCTTTGATCATTCAGATCCAATAGATTCTTCATGTTGGTACAGTGTTGACACAAATTTAGAGTTATTCTTGTTATGGTATATGCATGTATTTCTGTTCTTGTTTAAAATAGTGGAGCCATACAATATATTCTAGACTACTGAGGGGAATCACAAGAAAGACAAAATATCTGTGTTTAAAAAATAAGAAGGAAGGCAGGAGCCTGGAATAATAAAGAGAAGGAAAGGAAGAGAGGAACTTGTCTGAAGAAAATGTCTGAGGAATCAAAGGAACGGACTGAAGGTGCATAGAAAATTGTAAAAGGCCAGAGGGGATGTTGACTATGTTTGTTGTGGTTTCTTAAACCTGAAAATACTGATTTTGAAAGCTAATTCTGGTTGGTTTGCATTTTAAAAATAGCTCATGATTCTTCACTGCAAACTGTTTGTGTTAAAAATGGAGATACATATATGTATATGTGTATGTGGACATATATGTGACTTGGATTTAACTCTATGTGTGAATGTAAGCTAACTTTAACTGTTATGTATGTATATGTAACTTGGATCCAACAGTGCATACGTGTGCAAGTAATTATTGTCTAGAAAAACATTTTTTAAACAGCAACCACATGGCTTTCCTCCATCTTGGCAGGTGACCTCATCATGATGTAGGCAGACACGTAGCTGGTAGCCATCTTTTACTAAGGTTATAAAGATCTATTCAGATTAACAAAAGCTAACTTAGAGATTTATACCTAAGTACTTATGTCTTTGTCAAGTGTTCAACAGCAAGCTTCTAGAAAATTTAAATAGATGGCTACATGTGTTTAATAAATAATGTATTTTGATAAATATTAAAGCTGCATCTCAATGCTTTTATACACAAGAATGTACCTTGCTCTGGAAGCTAAACTTTGTAACTTAAGAGTCACGTAGGTGATAGTCATCAGAAATTGAGATGTTCATTTCTTGTGATGCAGCAAGACAATGACCTAGGCAAAGGGCTTGGAACAGCTTCTGACTCCATGAGTCTAAACCCTTTGGGGATTGAAAAACTTTTTACGGGGGTAGCCTAGGACCACCTGTATGCCAGATGTTTGCACTGAGATTCATAACAATGGCAAAACTGCAGTTATAAAATAGCATTGAGAAAGCTGAGAACCAGAGCCTTACTCAAGGTCTATTAAGGCTTAAGAATGTATGTCTAGCCTCTTTGCCTTTGCTAAATTTGTTAAGCTTAAGCTATTTGGGTAAACTAAGTCATATAAATGTTTTATATTGATATTTTGTTTTGGTTTCTTTACTGAACCTATATTTGATACTAGAAGAGCTTCAATTTAAAATCATTGTTTAAGGCTACTTATTGTAGACTGTTAGAGAACATAGGTAAATAGTCATCTTATAATCAAGTTCTTTAATTGTTGTCATGCTAAGTACTGATGTAATTAATAATAAGGATAAGCTTTACTCAGTCCTTTGCATATATTTTCAGTGTTGAGCTTAAAATAAATAACTAGAAACAAAGTTTGTCTATTCAGGTATACCTGTATAGCCCTCATACTTCATAGATCTGCAGAATATGGCATTTAAAATGTTGATCTAAAAGCTTATTATATCAGACAGACTCCCAGATCCTAGCAGTGACCCAAGGTCTCCAAAGAAGATTATGTATGGGACACCACAATG